GCAGATTGAGTTAATCAGCAGTGAGCAGATTTCTTGTTTCAAAGCAGGTTGGGAGGAGACATCACGAATGCTAGCAGGGAGGGCATTGTAGTATTCTAGGGACTTGCACAGTGCAGGGGCGTAGGAAGCAGTTTAATATTGGTGCGGCGAAATTGTGAGAGGGGGTCCGGGGTCCTCCCGGATCCCGCGGGATTTGTTTTGAAAATTGGGCCTAAAAGGCAATATTTTATGCTACAGAATAATATGAGAAATAAGAGTATGCATGCTGATGATACACCGCATTGTCGATGTAAAACATGGTACCTGTACAAGAGTCGACAAGCCATCAACAAAGTTGAAATGTTAAAAAAAAAAATGACGACCGCCGGGCCTGCCGGACTGGTTCCTACGCCCATGCAGTGGGGAGTCTTTACAGCGATCGGTTCTGGAGGGTGGCAGGTGCCAAGTGCGTGCGTGTCGAAGGCTGTACTGGGCCGTAACTTGAGCGGGGGTGTTGAGCATGCGTATGTGTTGTGGGGCATATTGGTATTTTATGGAGTGGGCAAGAAGGGTGAGCTTCACTTTGCGGCGAGAGAACATTGTCGGCCATTTGAGCCGATGGAGCATTGTTGAATGATTCAGAGGAGTGTAGAGGGCAAGACGGAGGCAGATTCTGGCCGCTTTGCGCTGGATTCACTCAAGACGGTCAAGGGCTGCGATTGAGAGCGGGGTGACAGCAATGCATGCATTTTCTATTATAGGCAGGATATTATGTTTTGCAAATGAGAGAGAGAGTGATTTAGTGTGTAGTACAGCACAAAGTCAAGGCGGGCTGACCATCTTAGGCTGCTGAAAGATGATGCCGAGGTGACGATGTTGTGTTACTGTTTCTAGTAGGGTTTGCCCAAGTTTTATTTCGGGTAGTCGTGGTGGGGGTCGGTTAGCATGGTAAAACGGGAGGATGACGGTTTTCGTTTTATTGACTAGCAGGTGCCAGCGCTCTAGCCATTCTGCTGCAGCATCGACGCTTCTTTGTAGCGCAGCCTCACACTCAATGTAGCTACCTGCAATGGCAATTAGTTCGGTGTCGTCCGCGAACTGGCTACACGAGGTTGTAGCATTTTCACAGCCAGTGGGCAGGTCAATGGTGTACACCAGGAACAGAAGTGGTCCCAGGACAGAGCCCTGGGGCACTCTCGCTGGTATTGGTATGAAGGCGGATGTTGTGCCTTCAACCTGCACCCGCTGTCTGCGTCCTGTCAAGTAGGCTTCGAGCCACTTGTGAGCCTTGCCGTCGACACCGTAGTGGCTCAGCTTTTTCAGCGAGCCTTGATGCCATACACGATCAAAGGCTTTACTGAGATCGAAGAAACACGTAACAACGTGCTTCCCAGCATCCCTAGCTGTGGATATCTGTTGGACGATCCGTGCGAGTTGCAGTTCGGTCCCGTCTTGTTTCCTGAAGCCGGATTGGTCGGAGGGTAAGTGCGGTGCTATGTGATTGTACAGACGAGAGTGGACTATATTTTCTTGTGTTTTTGATATTATACTGAGCAGGGAGATGGGTCGGTAGTTGGTAGGATGGGAGGGGTTGTCCAACTTGGGGGTGGGTGTAATAGTTGCGTCTTTCCAATCCTGTGGTATTTCTCCGGTTCTGAAGGACAGATTGTAGAGACTAATGAGAGATGGGGAGATTTCCTTTGTAGTTTCTTTCAGGAGCCGAGTTGAGATGTTATCAAAGCCTGGGCTCTTGCCAGTGTCTGGACTGCTTAGAAGCTTCTCGACCTCTTCCACTGTGGCTGCGATTGTATTTAGAGTATGACTGATGTCAAGGGTAGTGTTGATGTCTGGTGTAGTACAGGCCGTCTTGTCGATGGACTGTTGGCTTTGGGAGATAAAGAACTTGTTGAGAGCTGTTGCCTTTTCCATGGCCGTGGCTGCAGTGGAGTTGGCTGTCGATAGTGTGGGAATTTGTTTCTTACGCGGTTTCTTCATGTGCTTCAGTAGACAGTGGAGATTTGTACCCGTTGACGTTGTTTGCTGAACAAAATCGGACTAAGCCTGTTGCAAAAGAGCGGTTACTCGGTTACGCTGGACTGTGAACAGTTTCCAATCTGAGTCTAGCTCGGTCGCCTTGTAGGTGCGGAACTGTTTGTGCTTTGTTTTGACCTGGCTGAGGAGATCCTTCGTCATCCAGGGACGAGTGGGCGTAGTATTTTTGCGAGATTGGCTTCTGGTCACTTGGCAGTGGTGCACGGCTAGTTTCAGTATCTGGTCTCTCCAGAAGTTCCAGAATGAGGTTACTGGCTGAGGATCAGTGGGATGTGGATCGTACTGCAGATTGCAGGTAGCAAGAGCTTCACGCAGGGAGGCAATGCCTTCCTCGCTCCACAACCAGTATGTGCTGGAGGTACTTGCTGTGTAGTACTGCTCTCATCTATTATTATTATTATTATTATTATAATTAGCACTCGGATGTTGAGCCATAAATAAATGTTGAAGAGAAAAGGACATATGTACACGAGTTAAGAGTAACTCTCCATCACTGTAACTGGATACTATATACAGTCAGAAAGTGCAATAACTAGGCACAAAACTGACAGAGTACTGAAACATTCGACGTCCTGACACCTAGCTTCAACACATCTCCGTAGCGCTAACCGACAGCCTTTCAACTTCCTCTCTTTGGTCTCTCCATAACCTTGAACCTTCCAAGTTGGAAGGCTGTCGGTTAGCGCTACGGCGATGTGTTGAAGCTAGGTGTCAGGACGTCGAATGTTTCAGTACTCTGTCAGTTTTGTGCCTAGTTATTGCACTTTCTGACTGTATATAGTATCCAGTTACAGTGATGGAGAGTTACTCTTAACTCGTATCCATATGTCCTTTCTCTTCTACATTATTATTGGTATTATTGTTTCTGTGGGCGGTGTGCTGCTGGGGTCGTAGGTTGCCTTGTATGACAACATGATCAAAGGCACCCATAGGGGGCAGGCTTGTGATGGTGGTATTATTGCGGCTGAAGCTAGAGATGGCCAGGTCCAGGCACGATGTAGGTGTGTGTTGGCGTACGTGGGTGGCAAAGGAGACGTGTTGTGTGAGACCACGAGTCTCGCACAGCCAATGCAGGTCCTCACCTAAGGCATCAGTGGTGTCGCTGGGGTGCCACAAGCAGTTCTTGGCGTTGAAATCGCCAAGGAGATGTAACTCATCCTGGGGTCTTCAACTAGCTGTATGGCTCTCTCCAGTTCCATCACGAACTCTGCCGGGTCGGACCGTGAGGGACGGTAGATGTTCCCTACCACAAGGGAGGGATGGCCGGTTGTTATTCTAATTCAAATACATTCCGCTTGAGTCATGGGAATGGTAATTGTCTCGTGTTGGCAGCTGTGTGGTATGTATGTGGCGACTCCTCGACCAAAGGTGTCCGGGTCCGCTCTTATGAGTTTGTAGCCGTTGATGGCGTACATCCCGTCGCTGTCCGATGGATCAGCCCAGGTTTCCTGGATGGCGATTATTGACGGTTGTTGAAACTCTGCCACATGGCTAAGCTCGTCCATCTTGTTAAAACAGGCACCTGACGTTCGATCTGATGAAATTCGCGACTTCCATTATTTATTATTATTATTTTTGTAATTTGTTTGGTTTTTTTGGTATTTCCGCAATTGAAGGTATGGTTCTCACTGATATTGTGTGGAGGACAGCGCTAGGATTGGGTAACCTGTGACACCATTGGGCTGAAGCGTGAGCCCTGTGCTGGGGCAAGGGGTTGGCTTTGGCCAGGGTCGATGTGTTGTTGCTCCCTTTTTTGTTTTTTGGAATTTTTGAAATCAGGTGAGGATTCCGCATTGGGACTGGGTCTCCTGCGTCGTTCGGAGGTAATCCAGGGGTTTGCTAGCTGTTTAGACATGTCTGTGTTAGTCACTAGTGAGGAGAGGAGGTCTTCAGCATGCGCCGAATCTGGGTGATTAGTACTGATTACACGACACCCAAAATACTCCGACCCGCGGAGCTAAAAAATGTCCAACCGTCATCCACACTACTACGGAAAGGGATCTCGTCTAGAAGTCCACCGCGCTCGAACTGAAATTGTAGGTTCAAACCATTTCCCACGCGCCGTCAGGCAGCGTAACTCTTCTCCCTACATCACCATCCATCTCCAGCAACCGTCTCCACTCACAGCTCATGCCTCTGCCACCACTGTACTCCTCTGAGCTTCGCAGTTTGAAACCATTCGGGGGTCAGCTACACCACCGCGAATGGAGAGACGAGGACAACAACGGTCGTGACTGAAAAGACACTGTCTTGGCGACCGCGTCGCGGAACCCTCGCCCCAGCAAATTCAGAAACACGCCAGGGGCGACTCTGGTGGAACCAGAGCCACCCCCTTGGCAAGACAAGTAAGGGGAACGACTGAAAACTCAGATAAAACGGAGCTACAAAAAGTGCAACCGTCCCCTTCAAGCACAGTTGCAACACACAGGGAGTCGTATACATGTACATAATACGACCAATATTGCGGCCAGCTGTTTGTGGCCAGCTGTGTTTGATGGTACGGTACGGTACGGGACAGATACTGGAGCCATCAAATGGCCAGCTGTGTTTGATGGTGCGATACGGTACGGGACAGATACGGGATAGCGCCAGGCGTGACACAAAAAAACAAACACCAAATTAAAGCTGCGTGGACCCTGGCTAGCGCCAGACATTACTGAAGTAACGTCTTCTGCATAGCTACGGGAATAAATAATAATAAATTCGACGGGTTCGCGTACCGGGCAGGTCAAGAACAAGGAGTCGCCCAACTCCCTGGTCAAGAACCACCTTTCCGCTTCCGTGGGACGCCACCACCGTATGATTAGGCGTCAGCTGCGGCTCCTCAACGGACCTAAACGGTGACCGAGATGGCCTCCAAATAAAACACATGCAATCCATTGACGATGTCACTCCCCCCCCCCCCCCCCCCCATCCGTTCTTCCCCAAACACCCACCCACACACACGAAGTTACAGGCAAGACCACTGATGTATCACAAAGCAAATATTTCTCTACATTGGAATAATAGCCATTTAAGGAAATATGACCTAGAATATTTCTACATTTCGAAGATTTCGAAGTTTTAGGGACTTGAAATAATTGGACATATGGAATTTTTAAATTTCGACACCAATGGATTGGGGAGGACTCCAGTAGGAGTTGGAAGAAAACAATTATGTAAAAAAATAGTATAAATCAGCAGAGAACCGCCATACTTGAACGAAAATTCCAACAAAGAGAGCCACAATTCTTTTCCTGCCAACACCTTGCTGATGTCATTACAAAAGATGCACAACGCAAGCCTGAATACATGTGAGAGAGAAAACGGGACATGCGATGGACATGCCAAGACTGTTAGCTTCAGTCTACTATCAGAAATCTGTAGAGGTATGATAACATTTTTTTGCACACACATATCCTAGTTTAACTGACATGATGTCATACATGATGTCATACATGATGTCATACATTTCATACTCTAATTAAACACAAACACAAGGAGACTACTGAAATGAAATTCATATACAGTACGTACCCTAAGGGACGCGTACTTTGCTTCACACATTCAGCCAAGCTCTTAGCAACTGCGTGAGTAACCTAAGAAGTAGGGGCTTTAAATGTCACGTCACTGTACATGGTGGTGTCATCGGTGCGGGGGTTGGGAGCGACCACCGTGTTCTTCCTGGCACCCCCGCCGAACTCCACGGCTGCGTAGGTGATGTCCTGCTTGCTCTGAGGCGCCGGGCTATTCTTCGCTGGTGTGGCATACAAACTCACACCCGAGGGGTCGGATCGAGGCATTTTGGACAACTGTGGCGTTTCGGAGACCGTGGCGACCTCCCCGTCGATTCCCTTGTTGTTGAACGTGACAGTCATTTCGCCTTTACGGTCTGGCGACTGTCTCCGCATTACGATGATTCCGACGATGGCGAGTATAAGAAGCACGGCTAGGACTGCAATCACAGCGATGAGAGCAACACTGCCGCTCTGACTGAAGAACGACGAGGCTTCTGTTGCTCCTTGAACGGTAGGCGGCACAGTTGTTGCTATCACTGCAGAGTACATGGAAATGGAGCAGAAAGAAAGAATAGCTGCTAGCGAAGATTCCGTTTTCCAACCTTGTAGTTATGCTTTGTAACTTTTCAATGCATTGTGGTGACGCTGGGCAATATAAAGACAGTGGGTGGCAACCAACCCTAGCAGATGCGTTCGAGGGGAGTTTGAAAAGTAACCAATGGCAACAGAAGACTTCAGAATACTTTTAAAAAAACGCCCGCCCGAAATAAATTTCAAATGCTCCCTTAATTCTTTCTCTGGCTCTGTGAAGTAAAGTTAGGACACGTTAACCCTCTCAGTGCCAAGGACGAGATAACTCGTCCTACAGACCCCCGCGCGATTGGCCAAGGACGAGATATCTCGTCCCCGTAGTACGCACTACTATATCTCACCGGCCATGCACTACAATCTAGCTTGGCATATTGTGGCTCTTCGAGGGGAAACTAAAGATTTTCCCCTGCTGAATAAGACCTCACTCGCCGTGTTTGAGTAGGGAAGCGCGCAGCAGCATACATTCAGAGCGCTCGGGCGAAAAAAATTTGTTCGATTCAGAAAAATTTGATTGACGGAACGTACTTTAGGTCTCTCTAGCTGTCACTCAGGCACGGCGAGTCGCTGCACGTAGGCTGAAGAGGTGCTCCAGTCCATCATAGACTCAGACATTCATAGACTCGGACATAGGCACCCACGATCGTGACGGAACAAATTTCGCAGACGAGTCCGCCGTGGTCGATGTCGTACCTACTGCTGTGGTCGCCTTGGACGGCCCTGAGGATATCGGAGATGTCGATGTCGAGTTTGAGCAGGTCGCAGCAGCACAAGCTACGCCAGCGCAGGGCAACAAGTCGGTTTGAGTTGATACAACTAATTTTAAAAAAATCTATTTTTTTTTGAATGGCCCGACCAACAGCGTATATCTGGCCTGGCACTGAAAGGGTTAAAGACTACCGAGAATCCCGTCAAACCGTGAACGGCGATAAGCTATCGTTACTTCTGCAGCTCCCACCGCTGCACTGATAAGGAATTATTCTGTACCCCCAGCCTCAGCACCGGGTTTTACAGGCTGAAGGAATGTTGTTACTGCCGCAGCAACCGGCGTAGTAACACCTTTCCGCCGGCAAAGTGCCAGTAAAGTTACGTGATCAAATCATCTTTGAAACTGTCCCTTTCCATCAGTTTTTTCGAAAGTCTGAGCTCGCCGTAAAGCACGATAAAATAATATACTGTCCTAACTAAGTACAGGTATGGTGCGGAGATGGCGCCTGTAGCATATACAACTGCAAGATACTACCTTCTCTGCTACTCTGTCCGAGTGTACGACTTATTTACGGACTTATACAGTAGCCAGTCAAGAGGAACACAAATGTGTAGAACACGTTGGCAATGGATTATAGTAGTGGCTTTATCAGGGGTGACACACGTCTTTTGCCTTGCTAACACTGCATAGCGTTTTCGGCCGAACATAGAATCGTACCAACAATCCTCATTATCAGCACTAAAATCCTCCGCGATCTGTCACCGACAAATTTGCGGCGAGTTCCTAGTCCTACGATTTTTTCGACCAAGTATGGACTAGTGGACATTTTGGCCAAAATGTTGGCTTCATTATAGGCCTTGCACCTTTTGCAGCGGGCCTCCAACCAATCCCTGACGGCTTTTCTCCATCACAACAGACGTGAGCAGTCCACAGCATGAATTGGCTACACTGGATCATAAGTAGATGCTAGCTTTTTTTTCTCGCTTTGGTTAATATACCTCATGTAAAACAATATCATTTCCTCCTTGGTGACTACCGTGGTCCACGACGTGTGAGTGTGTGACAGACGAGCAAAATTGCTCGCCGTTATGTTGTGCCTAATTCCACACTTGGTCAATTTTTCAGCCATTGCCACGGCGCCGACTCCGACATGAAATCGGCAGACTGTGTCGTAAGAGTCGGACTAGGTGTTCGCACTACACGGCTGGCGGTTTCGATTAGACTAGTTCTGCGCGTTCCTACTCATGCAAAAGACACTGCGGAGTCCGACGCGAACCATGATTCTCTTCTTTCTAGTTGTCCTGTGTGTTCACGCATGTAATGGTAGTACAAAGTTGGACGACAGTAGACTCCAGAGAGCGGAAATAATATCGTTTTGCACAAGCTTCAGGTTCAAAGGCGTGAAGAGATGTCTAGCAGCAATCCAGTGCAGACGGTTCTCTGCCTACGGCCTTTGGTGTCATGGTGAAAAACCATCAGTCATTGTTTGGAGGTCCAAGCCACCACAAACACCATAAACACCACAAATTTGCCGACTTTTGGGCCTGATAATGACCAGCCAAAATTTCGACGGAAAATCATACTGGCATGACAAAAAAATTGCCACAGAACTGTCGAAATCTTGTGCGACAATATCGTCCACAACAGGTGATTTTCGCTGTTGTCTGACGATTTGACGTGAAACTCCAAGTCCCCCCAAAAAATCGGCCTAGCGTGTACCAGACATAAGCAGGCAGTCCAAAATGTCACATGAAGTTCGCCGATATCATGCCGGAGTTTGTGTCGAAGCATTGGCCAAAATGTCGGCCTAGTTGAAACCAGACATCATGAAAGCCAACAAACATCAGATCTCTGCCTTCCGTGGGGAGGTCCAGTCATGCAGAGTTGTATAATAATAATAGTATGAAAATGAAAATGTGCTTCACCTCACAATCTCCATGTCACATATCGTGCCCCCTGCCCCCCCCCCCCCCCACCATATTTGTCAGTATAATACATTTGACCCTTCCAGGGGATAGTTCACCCCCAGAGATTCAACTCCCCCCCCCCCCCCTCCGTTGCCCCGCTCAACAAACTAGAAATGGTATCCATCAGAGTACTGTTCTGACACTCACCAGTACACACGGGGTTGCTAGACCAATTGCCATTCGCCAAGCACACTGCCGTCTGATCACTGCCCAGCTCGTATCCAAGATTGCATGTCGCCGTTCGCACACTGCCGATAGTGTTCTCTCCATCCGAGACCTTTCCATTGGACACTTGCAGTGAGCCACACTGCACAACTCCTGCAACAATAGCCATCACAGAAACATTTTTTGTGACACTAAGAGCCAACCGTAGTTTGGCTCCACCATTGGAGTTTGTTGATAGGGCATCACTGGGGAAATGTATGTGCAGGTATATAATTATTACTCATAAAAAGGACACACTTCAGGCTCATTACGAACATCATGAAAGCTTTTGGTTTCACAAATATACTTTCAAGCCGTCTCATCAGCTGAAATACAGGCAAGGGATGTGTGTCCTTTTCATGAGTATTATCGCTTTTTTGTGTCAGAGGAAACTGCATATATATATGGGCCACAACCAGCTAAAACATGTCTTAGGGTGGAAATTTTCAAATTTTGTTTTCCTCTAGAAAACAGTTCTTGGGACCTTACTTGACCCCTTGAAGGTGATACAGGGCAGAAAAGTAGTCTACAAGTGCCCCAAACACCGCTTTCAAAATATGTACTTAAAAAATGACAGTTTTCGCACAGTCTGGCACAAAGCGACAAACTATTACTTAGTGGCTTTTGTGGCGGAGCACAATACAACGGAACTAAAGATGTTGACACCGACTTGAGCATGTCAACGACATCAGTTCAAAGGCATGGCCCAAGTTCTTCCTGGAAAGCAACACGATGCGCTGGGCGGCGCTGCACTTGCATACTCTTTCGATTCTGGCAGTGACACTTTCGATCGTCGCCTGCGTTTCCCAGACTGCGTCAGACGCCTCATGAGAGCTGAACGCAAGTAACGTCGTAAGGCAGCCGGTTCGCCGCCTAAATGATTATGTACTAGCCCACAACTTGTGCCTCTTCGCTACTGGAGACGACGGGGACGATTCAGCTTCGCTGTCGACATCAACATCAATGAGATCCCAACAAATTGTCAGCGTCGCTCTGCAGACCCGCCGCCACGGACTTGCAGACACCTGAACAAACCTGGGCCATGCACAGCGATCATCTGGCCGTGCGAGCTGCTCTTGTATCACTAGATGCGGACATTGTCAGTCTTTGCTCGCCAGCTACTTGAAGTAGAACGCCGAACAGGTGTTTGAATAAAATTTGAGAAGATGATCGCCACATCATGAATCATTTGAATGAAGTGCAGAGTGAACGCGCTCCAAAAAATACATTTTTTTCATTTCGTCATTTCCAAACTTTTTTACGAAACCCCAAAGACATGTTTTAGCTGATCGCGGCCCATATAATAGGGAAACAGGGTTGCAATCATTTGAGTTTAGGGGCTCTATCCTAAGAACTGCTATGGGCCAGTATTGCTGCAGTTGACAAGTCTAAGTATTTCCTACCAAGCCTAGGACCGGTTTTTTTTTCATCAAGGTAAAGACGAAGTATAGATGCCAGAGACGAATGGCTGCAAGGATTTGAAACAGTGTAGTTCTTGGGAAACCCTGCCTAATAATGTGTATGCTTGTTTAATTGATGCTGGGTTAGTTGATGTGGCATATCATGTTATTTCTGTCAATTTCGTTTTTTGTCAATGTAGAAACATTGGAAACAGAACTTCTTTGATCGGGTCAAACAGTGGCTAGACCGATTGTTGAAGGATATAGTATGCTCTGAGTGGAAACAGTCCAAGTACAAGATACACAACACTTACGATTGCAAGATGGTGTGGAAGACCACACCGCACCGGGAAGACATGTGACCATTGAGTTACCGGAAAGCTCGAAGCCGGCATTACATGTGATATTGCGAACCCCTGTCACTGTATTTGAGCTGCCAGCCAGTACCGCATCACTAACAGTGAGCATGGGACATTCTGCCACTGCTGTAACACCGCAGAATAACAAGAGACACAATTCACATTGCGAACAGCGAACCTGGATCAGGGCCAAGAAGTAAGTTGTTCTTTATGAGCATTCAAAGTGTTATCTGTTTGTTGCAATTTTGTTAGATATCTTCAGTGAAGTTTAAAGTTACTGGACTAACTGATTGCACTGAAGTGTAATGACCGACAAGGCGTTTAACCCTTTTCGAGCCATGAGGGCATATATGCACTCTGAAACTATGACGTGCTTGGCCATGAGCGCATACATGCGCAAAAAAACTCGCGCATTATATCGCGGTGCATAGACTAGTGTACAAACGATCGTAACTCCGTCAAACATAAACACATCGTGACCACCAATATACCGTTGGAAAGGTCTTGAGTTCATCTTTCTTGGGATATAAAGTTCGTCGCGATAGGATAAAGAATCACTAAGCGGCAACAGGATGAACACCAAAATCACGGCCCGAAGCGAACGCACATTATATCGCAGTGTACAAACTATCATAATTTCATGAACTATAAACGCAATCGCGACAATAGATACACCATTGAAAAGGTCTTGAGCTCGTCTTTCCGAGAATATAAAGTTCGTCGCGATAGGATAAAGAATCACTGGGCGGTGACAGGATGAACACCGCAATCATGGCCGGGAGCGAGCGCGCATTATATCGCAGTGCATAGAACAGTGTAAAAACTATCGTAACTCCGTGAAACAAAACCGCATCGCCACAACCAGTACAACGTTGTAAAGGTCTTGAGCTCATCTTTCCGGGGATATCTAGTGCGTCGCGATAGGATAAACAATCGCTGACCAGCGACATGATTAACACCAAAATCACGGCCCGGAGCGAACGAGAATTTTTTTGATCATGACTTCGCAGTTTTTTGGAGCGTGCTAGGGGATTTATTTACCTTTGGCATAATGCATGCATGATGGACATCAAATGAAGCGCTAGGATTTCAGCTTTGCAACGCAGTTCGAATCGTGAAAATCGGTTGAATTTGGGCAAGATGTTGAAAAAGAACGTGAAATTGAGTTGTTGTGCCGTTCCGAGGAACGGTGGAGTACTTTGGGGAGGAGGTGGAAGTGGCCCTGGTGTGTCTATGTCGCTGAGATATACCATGATGGATTCGCTTGGTCCTGATCTTTTGAACGAGCCCAGGATGATGGAAATCCATCAAGGTGGAGTGAAATGAGATTAAATTTCGTTCAGAGCTCTGCGCGCAAACTACACCAACAGAGTCAGTGTGCTAGACAGCTGGCCGATTGGAGAAAAGGGGCCCGGCATGGAAAGGGTTAAACAAGCTCAAAGCATCAAGATCAGAGTGCTTTAACTGCGATAGGCACTGCGAGTTTTTCACGAATGCAGACAATGTTGACAGGAACCGGAAAGAGTGGTCAACCAAGCTGATTCGTAATACTCAAAGTATTTGGGGTGTTGAGCATTGTCAGCACACTGGGTATATGCTCCCGTACCCAAAGCATTTCAACATTTAATTTGCTGTAGCCTAGTGCCGCACCACCAATAATGGCGAATGACTTTCTACTTCCTGAAAAGCTACAGCAAGGAAATGCCTCATTTCTTGTTGGATGAGAGCAACAAAGTAAACAAGAAATGCTGTTCTTTTCGAAACGCGAGTGCACAGTCCAGAGTTCACGGACTGTGCTGGGAGTGCGGTACGCACTGGCTGCACAGTGCGGAGTTGCAGCATGCACATGAAGGTGCATGCTGGTCTGAAGACAGTCTTCTTTTTGTTCTTGCACTGCTGCTGTACAGTTCTTTTTGTTCTTGGAGCAGCTGTTGCTACGACCCTGCAGTACTATTGTTGTTGTTGTTGTGGTGTGTACGAGAGTGTCGAAAAGAAATGGATGATCAAGAAGATGTGTTTCGCTGTGTTGGAAACCAGCTGAGAGCCAAACAAATCTAAAATAAGCTGAGCTGTGTATGGGCTAAAGTATAATGTCTGCTGGTATATACTGAAAGTACTTGAAGACGCACACGAGTTGCGGTTACATCTGGAACAGTTGAAATTATATGAGTTGTTGGTACACCTGAGGGTCGCTATGCCACCCGCACGAAACTTGTAGTCACGAAGTACAAACATCTACCATGTTAAAATTTTTGTGCAGACTGTCTCCCTCACTTGCAGCACGAACGGTTTGTTGCATCGCTAACAGTTTTCTGTCACGAAATGCATACAATGTATGGGCAAACAATGAAAAGCAAACTTATGATCCGCTGGCAGGTTACTAGCGAGTTGTCACACAAGAAGTGGACTGTGACTTTAGCAAAGGATATTAGACGTTCCATTGTAGATGGGTACGTTTCACAAACAGAAAATAGCAAACACTTACGATTGCACACAGGAGTTGACGACCAAGCTGCGGTGGCTAGACATATGACCATTGAGTTTCCCGAGAGGTCAAAGTTGGCATTACATGTGATGCTGCGGATGCTGTTCACTGTATTTGAGCCCCCTGACACGATTCCGTTGCTAACACTTAACAGTGGACATTCAGGCGCCCCTGAAAGGCAAGAGACCAAGAGAAAGTACAGTCCACCTTATGAATTTTGGCCCTTGATTGTGCAAAATATAATGGTTTCAATTCACAAGAAAAAAAATAGTGATGTAATGAACTACTTGGTCCGCCCAGTTAAAATTGGCGCTTATCTTCACACTTATCTCAGGAAAGAAATACGAATATTTGAAGCAAGCCACGATCACAAAGCACTATATACATGATTATTTACATATCAGTAAGCAACTCAGTCGAAAATTCAAGCAAGTTACACATCCTCCTCGCCACTATCGTCGCTGGAGAGCTCAAAATGTACGATCCGGACAGCTGCTGCACGGGTCGTTTCATAGCTTGTTCCACTTCTCCTCGTCTCGAATCACGCTCAAAGGCAGTGCGTGCCTGTCACCTTCCCATCAGAAGCTGAGTGAGACTGCCCGCATGTTGACTGTAAGTGTTATCCCCGTTCGTCGCAATAAGCGACTTTGTTCGAGACAAAAAGGCAACGCCATATCAGTGTCCTTTTTTCAAATCGCCTCTTGCGCTTGTCGTACTTGCTGATCAGCACCGTACCCACGCGAGCCGCTGGTGCTTGTACATGCAGCGCAGTGATAGCTTCCGCTTGATGTAGCTCCTGTGCGTACTGCACCTACAACGCCGTGCACCAGGCTTTTCGGCTAGTTTCCTGAAAGTCCTTTGCACGAGTGTTTCTCTCAGGACTTGGTGTTTCATTTGATTAGCTCCTTTGCCCTGTCCTCTGTGAGCTTCAAAGTGTGTCCGCCGGATTGGTCTCACTTCCTGGAGATATCGACATGAGCTGCAGTTTCTTCGTCAGCGATTTGCTGGTGATAGCCCTTCACTAGGCGCTGTACTGTGCAAGCACTGAAATTCAAGCTCGCGAAGCGCTTTTTCAGCTTTTCTATACCTCCCCGGGGTAAACAATCCCTGCCATCAGACAGCTGGAAGTAGACAGAAACTGTATTCTCCATCGCTCTGAAATGCGACCATCCTGACCTATTTTACGGACTCGAGCGGAGGTTGCACTGTTTTCTTGCGCTGACGGAAGTGTTCGTCGGCGGCAGCTCCGTCAAAAAGACTCAAACGAACCGATCGCAACTTCTGTGATGGTTTGTGCTGCCATGTCGTCGGATGCAATGGTCAATGGTCATGTTCGGATGGTGAATCGGTGGTTCCATGCCGTGTGGCACAGGCAGAACACCAAAAAACCAAGTGAGAAGATAAGCGCCAATTTTAACTGGGCGGACCAAGTATGTTTTCTTCCAACGAATATTCTCTCGAATATTGCTTTGAAGAACGAAAGAATATTCTCTATGTTGGACTCAGTAGATCGTCCAGCCCCTATATGATGTCGAACCCCTATATAGAGTCCATTTGTCCAAAATCAACTGAACAGAGGCCAAACTTTGAAATCAACTAAAAAGGGTCTTTATGTGGACAACACTTCCTGTATAAAGTCCAGCCAATTAGGCATCCCCTATCCAAAGTTCAAAATTAGACATAGGATCTGCTGTAAGAAGTGAATATTAACCAGAAAACTGCCTCACCCATTAATCCTTTATATTATTCACTTCTTAAGATAAAAAATTAGTATTGTGGCACAAAAATCTACCGGTTCGGCACATTTGGTCCTAAGTGAACGGGCATTGATACAGCCAATGGGAAGTGAGGTGAGACAGGTAGTTGAACGAGAAACAAAAGGGGTGCGTGGAGATCTAGAGTTGAAGTCTGGTGGGACACAGAATAATTCAAATGGTTAGCCTTTTGCTAGGGTGGGTGATGGTTCGTTTGCGATGCGGTCTGATTTGAATCTCCATTCCCTGACGCGCACCTCTGATGGCCAGAAGTCCTCCCTGAGAACAGTTGCCCGATGCTCTTCGGGGACAACAACATGGGCAAAGGAAAGTCCAAAATACTTCGTCTCAGATACCGAGCACTTGATAACGTGGACTGATTTGCGTTCGCAGTGATGGACAATGGTGTCAGATGAAACTCCGGAGTTTAGATTGCCGGCGTAAAGGGGGAAACACCTGACCCTCTCACCCGAAGACAGTTTCTCAGTTGGTATTGGTCGGCGGTGGAAGTATGATACATCGCGTGTACGGGGTAGTTGAAACGGAGAAGGGCCGGGGTCCGGGTTGGTAGAGACGGCATTACTGTACGTCCGAGGTGGAGGTGCAGGTCGGGACCTAGCATCTCTTGTACGTGTAGTTGTACTAGCACTACATGTAGCTTGTTCATCAAGCCTCTGCTCGTGATGGTCCAACATGTTCAAACTTGGACCCCGTGACCGTATATTATTGAATGAACTCCGTACACCACGCAGCTTATCCCTTCCCTCAAAAGCTTGAATTTCAGCACTAGAATTTTCCCGAATTTGAGCCATTTCGCTGCGTAGATCTTTTATCAGTAATGTTAATTCTGCAATGGCCTTTGACAGGTTGGACACCTCCCCATCCCCCTCGTGAGCATCATTATTATTGTCAGACGGACTTGCAACGACTTGCTTGTGCGTACGGAGGGGCGAGAGCAGCTCTAATCGGGGGGCCTTCGCACGGTCAGAAATTTTGTACGACTTGACGAACTCCTTGAGCTGACCATCTGTAATAACTGCAAACTCCTCGAGATCCATGGTGGGACGAGGAAAAAGCACCTACCAATACAACTACTCAGTCGGCTTACTGATTTACAGGCATTCCACTCACTGCGCTTGCCCGTAAGGAATGAACCTACACGATAGAAATTTTCAAATCCAGGGAGAGGCAAAAACTGCATCTGCTCTTCATGGCTGAAAACATCTATTAGGTGCATCGGGACTCTGGTGACTGGGCCCGAATGTCACAATTTAAAGATACTTTCTTATTTTCTCTAGCTTCTCGGAGAAGAAGAAAACAGAAGTCAAAAAACTTTTGTAATCAAAGAACGGTCTTCTAGAAAATTCGAATAATTCGAATATCCCCTACATCACTACAAAAAATTCTAGCCACCCGCAGACTCCATTGCAGCCACTTAGACATTTAAGAGAGTACATCAACTTCAATAGGTTCTCTTTGATGCATAAGTCACTAAAATTAACATTTTATTCCCGTAGCTATGCCGAAGACGTTACTTCAGGGCTAGCCAGGGTCCACACAGCTTTAATTTGGTGTTTATTTATTTGTTTGTTTGTTTGTGCCATCGGCATGCCTGGCGCTATCCCGTACCTGTCCAGTATCATCAAGAGCACCGTACCATCAAGAGAATGAGTATGTATGCAAAGTGTATCGGGGGAATGCATGCAGGCTGATAGTGCAGTGCATCGATCATTCAAGAGTTGCATAGAGTAGACACGATACTGGTCAAGCAAGCTAAGACAGAGATCCTTCTCGTCAAGTCTGTCGAACGAGGCCCCAGGAAAACTGGGTGTTTACGAGTGTCCAGAAAGCGCGGCGCGTGTCAAACGTCGCATCCTGAGAGAAATCTGCATGCACCGGTATGCGGTGAAGTATGGCTGCCCTTTCCAGGCCTCAGTCTAACTGTTATCAAATTGGCTATTTACGAGTGCCCAGATAGCGCGCCGCGTGTCAAGCGTCGCATCATGAGAGAAATCTGAATGCACCGGTATGCTGTGAAGTATGGCTGCTCTTTCATATCCAGGGTTCTACCGCATCTGATCTGTCTCGATAAGCGGTACGGCTTGGTATATGACAACACGACAACGCCCGAAAACGATGCCTAAACGGAACGAAATGGAAATGCACTTCAAAGTGTTTTGAACCGTTTCCATTCTCGTGTAAACGGTGAAAACAGTGAAAACGATTGGAAACAGAGCGCGGACATGGAAACCATTCCGCACAGGACTATATTTCGTGGGAAATACCCAACCCTTGCGACCACCAGCATTTACCAACTTTAACTAATGTGTTGTTTCCCGCCCTTGCGCCAAGCCAGCACGTGATAACTCCACTCTCCAGGCCGCTGATCGCCTGTTTTTCGTTTTCGTGTAAACGGTTCAAAACAATTTGCCGTTCTCGTATAAACGGTTTGAAAACGATCCGAGTACAGCCCGTTTAAGAGAGAGAAAAATAACGATTCGCAATAAATTCTACGAATACTTTTGCCTAACTCATATTCAAACTGATTGAAACGTTTTTGCAATAAAATGATGTAGCCAATCAGAGGAAAAAAACATTTCCATCAGTTCTAATAACATGCGCGATGAGATAGGCAAGAAAGCATAGCGTAGGGCCCTGAGCTTCCAAGCTCTCTCGTTATTATTAATTTTATAGTAACGTATGCAGCAGAGAGAACGTATATTGGAGTAGAGATATCCTATGTAAGGTTTAACGTAGCAGAAGCATGGCAAGTGGGTTTTGAGGAGGGTTTTCGTTCAGGTGTTGGTTTTGGTACACCGGGGTTGTTTATTGACTGTAACACACAATACAAGAGGTTCAATTGACCAGTATAATCCCGGAGTACAGATATGTACAGGCCTACCGGAAGGCGGGCGGAGTTGGTCCGGTTTGAGGGGGGGGGGGGGGATCTCGGCCGTGAATTTGTTGACAAATCCGGTCGGAAATAGCAGAATTTGGCCCTTTCACGAGTTTTCAGAACCCACTACAAGGAATAAATTTGCATGGATATCAATGTCCATGACTGTACAATGTATGGCCTACTATGGGAGGTTTTTTTCTTCTTTTTTCGGGGGTAACGGCCTTTTTTACGGGCAAAACTATGGGAGTATGGGTGCATGTATGCATGATTGATAGTACATAATACACTGGACATGTATGTACCCAGAAGTTTTCCTCCCCGGTTTTAGAGGAATCCCAAGGCCAATTTTATTTTTATTTTTTTTAAGCCTGCCGGTTATCACCGGACCGACCGGACCGATTCCAGCGGCCCTGATGTACCATAATTGTGTGCACGCTGCCTCCTCGACTCGCTGCACACACAGTATGCTGCCACAGTGACAGCTTTCTGTCGTGAATTGCATACTTCCTCGGCGTCATCGAAATTGTCGCAGTTTGACTAGTGACTTGTCACGTGTTACTGACAACTCCATAAGCTCAACCATACAAAGATTATTGCACAGGATGATAGGTTGAAGTCTAGAGTAACGTTCCAGGACAGTGGGACTGAGAGTTTCACACGGAGCTGAAGGCCTCGTCGTCGCTGATGTCAATGGACGAAAAAATATCGTTCGGCGAAATATCCAGGAAGGTTGTAAATAGTTGGTCGCGCCTCATCTCGAACGCTTTGACATTCTCCACAGGACAAGAGCTGCTATGCTTGTCGTCTGCTAGCTCTGGATGATTTCTACTTCACCAGCAACGCAGTAAGAATACACGATCATTGCGAGGTCGGTTGATTACCGTCTTCGGAATCACCTCCATCTTGAAATGAACTTTTTTTAGCCGTGGGATACCCATTCATGTTAGCTGTGTGGTCACTGCTCATGCAGGGAAATGTACTATCAGGTCCAGCGTGCACTTCTTTTCAGCATCACGGCCACTGGTACGGTACTTGCACGTGCATGACTAGCACTACAGTGTACACGCAGAGTCTACACGACCCTTGCAGGTACTGTCTTACTACTCGGTATCTCAGCTTTCCTTGCAGGAATGCAAGAGCGTTACATTTTATCGCTCTTGCATGCATTAGTTTGCTGACCCCTCGATGTTTCTCCAAGCGCTGCCGCTTGTTCCACAAAGTCATTCTCACCCCAGCTCAGGTAAAACAGTGACGAGGTTTTGACTGAATTGCTATAAACGCGGGAAATGTGCAGGCTGCAACGCCTGACTGGTCTCAGCGAGTCGAAAGTACCATCGCAGCAACATCAGCGAAGAAATCGCATCTTGTTCAAAATGTTCAGCTTCCAACAACAGAAAATAGAACTTTGGCGTCGTCCTATACTGATGACTATCGTCTATGTTCGATTCCTTAACTGTGGTACGACTGCTGGTGAGTATATACCCCGTTTTATATCAAAAGTCAAACTGCGACAATTTCGATGACGTGGAGGAAGTACAATGTATGGAAATGAAATCAATGCCAAATTTACGACCAGCTGCCAGATTGCTCACTTCCTCGGCTGCTTCAGTGATTCTCAAATTGAAGCAAGCGTTATGGCTGCCAAGGTATGCTTTGATAGTTCCATGATCCAACTTCGAGCACTATATCTAAAGTAAAGGCCTTGAGCGTATTGACCGTCATGGCGTACTTTTGCATTTTGTTTGGCAGTCGCACGTCCTAGGACGTGCTACGTTTCTCACCGTTGTTATGACCATCTTACTATTGTGGACATTGAAATCCCGCTAAAGGAACAAAGATCGCACCCTTACCGTATTTTCCGGAGTATAGTGCGCACTTTAGATGTGCTATTTTAGGCCCTAAATCGCAGGTGCTCACTACGCTTCGAATATGAAATGCATGTACTTCAATGAAGATTGAAGTGAGCACCCCCAATGAAGATTGGGGGTGCGCATTATACAAAGGTGCGCACTATACTCCGAAAAATACGGGTACTGCCTTATCGCATACATAAAAAAACGGAAGTTCATATTATTCCAATCTAAAAGCAGGTTGGGATATTGGGATGCATTGCTCGCGACTGCCTTACCAGCGCCCCATGCCCGCTTGATTTTTCAATCGATCTCAATGTCCACAACAGTAGCGGAGCAGCAACTATTTTCGGGTTCAAAATTAGGTACTGTAATTTCACAAATTTTCGGTGTACTTTTATTTTTGGTACTTTCGGTGCGTCTGTTTCATACATAAATTTCAATACACCGAACAAACACTAACACACATAATCCAATGGGGAACTGCTTCTCTGTACCGAAAATTTCTGTTCACCGAACCTAGCATGTTGCCCTCATACCGAAAATATTGAGCTCCGAAAATTTCTGAAATTAGAGTAATTGGTTATGTCGCAAACACAGAAAAGCGAACACTTACGATTGCAAACTGGCAAGGTAGTCCACTCCCCACTGGGTAGACATGTTACCAACGAGTGACCCGAAAGCTCAAAGCCGCCATTGCATGTGATGTTGCGAATACCGTTAACTCTAGTTGAGCCTCCTGACACAACTGCGTTAGTAACAATTAGCTGAGGGCATTCTGGTACTCCTGTGACACAAAGGACCCAAAGAAAATACAGCATATGCTGTGAGTGCCAATCCTCAGTGGTCTATGCTCATTTATATATGCTCCGTGTGCATGACGAGTTACATCGTCCTTGGCCATTCAGGGGTGGTTGTTTCATGGCGAGGTATCTCGTCCTTGGAGGGTTAACCGCTTTTTGGTTCCAGTCAACCGGCTGTAAACTGGTTCTCAGAAAAAATAGCATCCTAAGTATGAACAGACACTGCTTTTTCACGCATTCACGCATTTATGCCATCTATCAACAAGTATCAAAAACATTCCAGCAACACATTGTTGCTTCTAAATGTCAAATGAACCCATACAACAATTCTTTTTGCACCGCACTTGCTTTTGACGGTCTGCAACAATGAAGATAATGAAGATAATGGAGATAATGAAGATAATGGGTGACTTTGCCCATCACTCGCAGGTAAATAACATGGACTAAACACGATGCTGCTCAGGGCTCCTCAACGCTCCTCAACGCCCGGCACATACTTGAGTGATACGACTGGATATCACTGAGCGACACTGTACATCTGGATTTAACCAGAGCATGTCGAGGTAAATTGAATAGTCAAATTAGCGTGTCTGTTTTAGCAGTCTAATACACATTCACAAACATACACGCACACTGATGGTGAGAGTGAATTAAGTCGCAGACCTTTCCCCTTTTCTAATCCGTCGCAATGAGGATAAATCGGTTATGGCCATGGATACGCGCACACACAAGCAGATACAATGTGCGGTCATCTGTGTGAAATATAATTATTTTTGGAAGCTTTGTCACCATTGTGAAGAAGAGGTTGGTACGACTTCGGTGATACTTTTTTCACCATTGCTATCCTAATGTCATCACATTTCCTAGTGGACACGGAAAGCCATGCAAATGAAAAGTTAACCGATTTCTGTATCTTATGTAAAATTATTATCTGTATCTGTACCTTGATTCTTGATGCTGATCTAAGGGGCCGGTCACATTGGGGGAACAATCCGCAGGTTATAAACCGGGAATATGTTTTCTACTTTTCATCACGGCCACACTGGATACGCACAATGAACAAAATCTGACCCACACTAGCTATTTTTTGTCACTATTCGCTTCTGGCAGTCTGTCAGCCACGCTCCTGGGCCAGAGCTGCATCAGGCCAGATCTAGAGTATCGCTCCACTTCATAGCGCAATAAAAAACAAGGGAACTCAAAGAAATCCATTGGAAGCCGCGGATGATTATAATATTCGGCGGAAAAGCAAGGCCTTGAGCTATTTTCATCGAATGGATTAAATCTCTCAAATGTCCCGCTCAGCGGTAAATATCCATGGTAACCACGGATTTTTTTAATTTTTTTTAGTGTGCGGATATCAATGGAACCATGAAAAAAGAGTGGGCTATTTTCTTGTACCCTGCCTCCAGAACGCTTCCCAAAACTTCGTCGGAAGCATGTCAGGTTGTGTCTTTCATCGATTTCGGGCAGTTTCCCAATCTATGACAAAGAAATCTGTCCCTCAGGTTTAAGCATACCAAATTAACTTAAGGCCCCAACACATGGAGCATCATACCCAGTGTCATGTGGGAATATTTTTTAACCCTTTGTGTGCTGAGTACGAGTTAACTCGCACTTTATGCATGACCTGATCCACTACGTACGAGTTAACTCGCAAAAAAATTCGCGCGATATATCGCAGTGCATAGACCAGTGTACAAACTTTCGTAACTTCGTCAAACATAAACGCACCGCGATTTTCAATACACCGTTGGAAAGGTCTTGGCCTCATCTTTCCGGGGATAAATTCTTCGCGATAGGATAAGAATTCATTGAGCGGCGACAAGATGAACACAAAAATCACGGCCCAGAGTGAACGCGAATTGTTTTGTTCTTGAATTCTGTTTGTTGAGGAGCGTGCCAGGGGATTTCCCTTTGGCACGGCGCATGCGTGATGGACATCAAATGAAGCGCTTGGATCTGAGCTTTGCAGCGCAGTTTGAATTGTGAAAATGTGTTGAATTTGGGCAACAAGCCGAACAAGAATGTGTAATGGAGTTGTGGTGCCGTTCCGAGGCATGGTGGAGTAGTTTGGAGAGGACGTGGAAGTGTCCCTGATGTGTCTATGGAGCTGAGAGCTGCCAGGATGGATTCGCTTGGTCCTGACCTTTCCAACGAGCCTAGGACGATGAAAATCCATCAAGGTTGAGTGAAATGAGAATAAATTTCGTTCGGAGCTGTGAATGCATACTCCACCAAGAGAGTCAGTGCGCTGGGAAGCCAGTGGATTGGAGAAAAGGGGCTCAGCATGCAAAGGGTTAATCCTGATGTGATTGAAAGGTGAGAGTAGAATGTCCACAAGCACTTACTGGAACAGTTTGGAAGTGGGGCAGACCAAGATCCATTCAACAGACAGACCAGTTGTGAATCCCCCGACAGGGTATATCCATCACTGCAGGAGAATGTACGTTTGGCCTGGAAATCCACTGGGCCAGCAGATACTATTGCATTGGGTGGTGTAGCCAGCACTGGGCAGGTGATGTCTGCAAGTGAATACACAGAATATACTGTGATGCTCAATGAAATCCATCTACGTAACTCCAGTATGTGCGGAGCGTTGCGCAGCCAGAGACCTGCGAACACTGGGCTGCAGAATGATGCAAGACACAAACTTGAGGGATACAACTGGATTTCACTGAGGACCACTGAACATTGACAGAACCACCATACCAATGCACCTAATCATGTGACCTCTCCAGACATTCTGGTTTGGTTATGCCACTAAATTCATCCTTCGAAATCAAACACTCATTACTACATACATGCTAGAACCACATCCTCCCAGTACAAAGTTTAATTCACCTTCCAAGTGGCGCAACTGGACTTAACTTGGGGAATTATGGGAACCAACGGGATGGTCTGAAGGTAACCGATATGGACATGAGGAATAGGAACGGAATTATTGTACTACATGGTTTAGGCTTCATTGGAAGATAATTAATTATAAATTGTAATTATGTTCGAAAGTCATTCTGTCACGGACCATGCTTGATGGTTCCCACCGTGAAAAAATGCTTAAGTGCCTTATGGCTAGCGTTAAAATCGAACGTGATCTACCTCAAAGTTGGCTAAAATTACATGAAAAATTTGTGTGACTCGGGTGGAGAGCCAAGGATTCATTTATAAGGAGAAAAGAGAACCAAAGAGCTACAATTTACTTTAGAACATGCACTAACACTCCCAGTTACTTTACAATCAGCTCATGCGATAACATTGCACGACACTGTTATCGCATGACCTGATTGAATAGGAGAGCCCCAATAAGGAGGTGCCTGTTAGATGAAGAGGAAGTTTTTGGCTATGTCAAGGGCTTAAAGGTTTGTTTGGGCGCAAGTACAGGAACAAACCTATTGATATGGTGAATTCTGTTTTTGGATGCTTTCGAGAATTCCTGGTGAACTTAAAATTCCGCTTTGGTCTTAATGATCTTCAACATGCATTTCTTGGGCATGGCATCATGCGAGCTGCTCAGGGAAAAGTTAACTTGGGCTGCATCTTATTGTGACTGATACCTTAGGGTCTTCAATCTGACTCTCATGCCAGTGTAAATAACCGCAGCACAAAGAAAAGCATTACATGTATTGGAAAGTGTTTGTTACTTACTTGTACACGTTGGACTGATTGCAGACCAGGTCTGATTGGTGAGACATGTAACACTTGACACACCCGTTAACCGATATCCAGCATTGCAGCTAAAACTTGCCTTTGAACCAACAGTCGTGTCATCTATGTAGACATATCCATTGATAGGCGTCAGTGGAGTCCGGCATATGTTTTCTGTGGACATAAGAGTGTGGAAACATAATTATCTAGAGAGATAACAAGAAATTTCACATCTGAACGAAAAGCTTTATCTGCCATTTAGGTGCCCCATGCATACACCATCGCATTGCATTATGCAGTCAGAATTACATTTTACAAATGTCATTACCTGTACAAATTGGACTTGCTGTTGACCATGTTCCATCAGCCTGACAAACAGTGTACCTACTTCCACTGAGTGCTTTGCCTGGGTTACAAAAAAATCCTCGCACTGTCAAATATGTGGTCCCTCCCATCTCTACACCACCATTTGTTACTGGAGGGATTGGTGCCGGACACAGAATTCCTGTTGAAGAAGAAAAAATAATGGGAAAGCAATCATGGAAGTTCCTCACTTGATCGCCCATGCACATGAAATTCGAAATCCGTAGCAACACCAATTCACAAATAGTTAACATTTGTCCGGATATAGTGGCAATTTGACTTCATGCTTTCAGCCTGACCAAAAAGGAAAACTCAAAACTAAACCAAAAACGACCACTCGCGAATGCAAATATTCCCTATGTACAGATGTGGGTAAAAATCCGGCACCGTTTGCTCCCTGGAAGTTATGATAGATAAGGGAGGGTGCAGGATTAAAAAAATCTCAGAACGTTTTGGTTTTTGAAAGGTTTTCCTGTTTTGTGAAGTCCTGAATTAAGTGGTCAGCCTGGTCGTAAAATCCCTGAAAAATCGAGTTTGTAAATTCATGTCGAGTGCTACATCAGTTGAGAGAGCACGAACAGGTGCAAAATCTCTGAAAATTTTGTTTCGATCTGACCAGGCATTCAAGAGTTATGGCCGAAAATGTGCCCTTGCAAGGAAAGATTGTTTTGTTGCACGCTGTAATTTTGGGGCAGCGCTGTATTTGAATGTGAGCAGACTGTGCGCAACGAATTTTGCTCCAAGTCCATAAATCGCGTTTTTAAGGCCATGTATTGGGTTGCACGGCACCGGCCCGCCACCGCGCAGCAGGATTTTTGCCAGCACCCTCGTGACGTTGGAGATATGTGGCTTGATTATTGTATTTGACGTTGATTTAGTGACTTTGGCAAGTTTGAGTCGTGTCAAGAAATCAGGTAGGATTCAGCACTAGGCAATAGTGGAACGTGAGTGGTAGTCTTTGCTGATTTTTGAGGGTATCCTGGATTTGGTTTGCAGCGCTGTGGAAATGGCTTGCTGTGGAGGTCCCAGCATTAGATGTTGTATCAAAGGTACGACCTCGTAGCACGCCTTAAACCAAAAAAAATCAAAAATTGACTTGGGTCTGTGGGAGTCTGTGAGAGAACGCCCACTTTTGCGGTTGTAACAGATTCCAGGGCGAAGTTGAGGGGCCCTATCCCACCACCCATGGCTGCTTCTGGACTTCTTTTAGGTTTGGATCCCGCGCATGGACAGAAGGGGCAAGAAAATGTGAACACATTGTAAATGCATATTTTTGCCTCCGTGGTGGCTCGCACACCGTGGCACTATGCCAAAATTCCGGCCTGAAAAGCCTGTCAGTGAGGCGCAAGATCTTTTAAGTCATGTCCAGAGGGCCAGCATAGTGGCAGGAGTGTGTGGTGCAAATTTCACTCAAATCCATTGAGAGACACTAAGGTTACGGTCAATTGAATGCCATATGAAATTTACGACCAGGCTGCTACCATAAAAAGGGACATTGCTATAATAACACTGGCATTTCCACTTACTTGAACACGTGGGTTGAGTGCCGGACCATTTTCCATTTGACAAACAAACCGTATCTGTACTACCAGTCAGCATATATCCGGTCATGCAGGAGTACTGACGAGATGATAAATAGGTGTTTGCAGAACTGGACACAGTGCCGTTTGCTGGAGGTGGCGTAGCCATAGGACATGTAATCTCTGTAGTCAAAAGACAAGGAAATGTGCTTTTATCGCGATAAATTGCACACATTAGATACAGATGGAAATGTGCTTTTATCGCGATAAATTGCACACATTAGATACAGATGATTAAATACAGTGAAACATGTAGATGATGTACTCGTTGATGCTGTCGTTAAACTACGTTCACCGACTCTCTTCTACATTCAGGTCTCACGGTGAAAATTCCAAACAGGCGGTTGCCTCATAATTCAGCCATAGTTTTTGAGCCGTACATGTGGTCACGTTTTTGGAGAAATTGAGAGCATGTCTGAGAAACCCAGAAAAGCTGGGCTGGGCCATCTTTTCGATTTCGCTCAAGTTTTGCAAGTATGTTTCCTTTGGGGTCTACAACAACCATGCAAAAGGGCTCGCTGCATTACTTACGGACACCTTGCAGCTGGGGACCACCTCGAAATGGGCCCAAAATACGACTGAATTTTGGTTCCAAAAACTAGCGCTGGTACAGCGTACACAATGGAGCTGAGAACAAACTATCACCATGCCAACATTACCTCACCTGAGTAGTCTTCGCATTACCACCACATAGAGCAATGGCTACATCCAGGAAAGCAATGGCTATCATCTCCAAATATCACTAATTCGCATCCCTAAAATAGCGAAAATTCAAGGGCCATAGCGGGAACCACTTACAGCGTCTATTGTCCTGAAATTTGCACAGCAGGACAGTGCCTCTATCAGTAAAATCGCCTTGTACGCTAAATGATTTCAAGGCCAACATGAAGCTCGTGTTCTAATAACTGGTAATTCCACATCGAGATTTGTTTCTCTTTGCCCCCAGTAATTTGTAATATTTATTTATTTTTGCTTTGTTTTTGTTAACTGCCATGGCTGGCTACCGCCCCCCCCCCCCCTCTCCGTCAATATTGGCCTATATTCTCTGGCCACGGGAAGGTGAAATAAATAAATAAATAAATGTGTGCCGTTACCCATAACCGTGCATTATTATTATTATTATTAGACATAATCTCATAGCATGTGACAAGCATAGCTAATGCAGGGACAGAATCCCCTGAGACAAGGGCGTTGAGCCAGCCACGGCAATAGTAAGCTAGCAAAACAAAGCAAATATGAATTAAAGCAGAAAATGAATGGAAAATTACAAAGAAAAACGATTAACGGAAAAAACAGGGAATATTTGCATTCGTGAGTAGCTGTAAATGTTTGAGCTTTTTGGTCAGGAAAATAAACTGAAAAATTAAACATAGGAGGTGCCATGCTGTTTTATTCCAGCACAAAGTGGTAGTAAAATTCGACTCTCCGTATATGACCAAGTGTGATGTACGAGAAGCCATAAAAAGAAGATAACCCGCGCTATAGTCGTGCAATACGATATTATTAATATTTACTTGGGCCCAGTGCGTGATCTCATATAATATGCCTTTTGTCATTACAGCTAATGTCTGCATGACTTTGCCATCAATCAACAATGGCGGAGCAACAGCCAGCAGCGTGACAAAGTATGGTGACCTACACGTCCACTGGCACACCGGGTATGAGTTGTCTGGAATGGAGAGAGTCTTTACAATTATAGCACTCGCGCATTACGCCACTTCTGATTCACCTGGTTGGATTGTCTGAATCTCCCCTTTCTTTATATCGGAATGGTTTTCGCTCCCCACACTGTATCTGCCGCTTTTCCGCCAACTTAACTAGACCTTACTGATGAGGGATGAATTCTCCAAAACGCATGTACTGAGCAAGGAGTTGCACTTTCTTGCAAGTTTCCGGAAATAAAAGCTTGTTGCACGTATTGCATGCTCTCGATGCTAGTCATGAGTCAGTCAAGTCTCAAGTCAAGTCCACGGAAAAGCTTGAACTCCGGTGTGGAGAGTAAAGTGTGTTACCATTGCCGAAGTCGTTACCACTATTTCCTTTCTTTATAATTAAAATTATATAATGACATTGGTCCGGCTCTTCCTACACAGTGCATACTATCGGGAATACATGAACTAAGAGTTTGCAACTTCTATCTCGAGCTGGGATTGGTCCATCCATGGAAGAACTGTTGATAGAGTCATTCTTTGGGAGAAGTACTGGAATGTGTCCCGAGAGCGCCCAGCCGTCTCGTTCTTTCGTGCTCGTGTTGTGCGAAGTTCGATTTGTTTGATTGTCCATGGCTATGCTTTTCAGCAGTCACTCTCCACAGAATACTGTAAGTGAACAAATGCACGGCCTATTCAAATTTCGGGCTCCCAGGGCTAAAACACATTTCGGCTGCAACAAATTTTCGGCCATATATGATCAGGCCGAAGATAGCCGAAAATACACATGGGCCGAACATTTGCTGACTTACAGTACAAGCTATATGCAAAGAAAAGCAGCACAGAGGGTATGGTACTCACGTGTGCACATTGGATTGGCAGTTGACCATGACCCGTCGGCTTGACATATTGTGTAACTCGTACCACTCAATTGATAACCTTCCATACAACTGTACTGACGCACTGCTGAAAATGTATTAGTACCGCTGGACACAGTACCATTTGTCAGTGCTGCTGGTGGAGAAGGGCAAGTGATCTCTGCATAGGGCAAACACACCCACAGACACACAAATACACATGTACAACAAAAGAATGGCTACCACCATTCTGGAGCTCTTTTCAAGCACAACATGCAATGGAGAGCAGAAGTGCAAGCAATTTCCAACAATGTCCAACACAGAGATAGCTATTATAGCAATAGGAATGAAAGTCAGTCATGACCACATACAACCTATAAAGATACAGAACATAGCAAGTCATCCACAATATTAAGAGAGCATGTCTGAGAATACCAAAGTATGTGTGCAAGTGGATCTCTCCGATTTCGCTCAAAATTTGCACGTAGGTTCCCTTTGGGGTGTGGATCGATTGGGCAAAGCCCTTGAAAAAGTTTCTGAAGGGAACCTTGAAATTTGCATACCCCTCAAAAATTGCCGAAATATCACATTATTTATGGGTCTAGAAACGAGTCACGCCACAGCGTATACGAACAAGCTATGAACAAAACTCCATCAAGCCAACATTCCCTCACCTTAGAAGAGTTCCTGGAGCAGTACCGCTTAGCCACGCCAGCATCCCAGAAGACGAGGTCCATCACCCCCTGACGCCACAAATGATCGTCTTGAAAATAGCCAATTTACAAGCACTGGCAAAACAGCCAGCTACGTCCTCAATTGGCCAGAACTATACACCGGCAGATAGTAGAACACCTCTTCCAGCGCTGAGGACATGTCCCCCATCTTCCTTTTGGGGTTTTCTTGAAATAAACTTTTTTGAATTTTTCCACTCGACCATGCTGAAATACGGCCAAAGTCATACCTGCGCAGGAAAGCTCGCCCCTCCGCGACGTCTCCTCAGCAATTTCTACTCCAACACTACTCCCAAGGCCGCAGAACAAAGTGTAGTGTTGACTCTGACAAGGAAAAGCAGCGGTGATCACTTGTCACTCCATTTACAAGCTTCTCCTTGCGCCACCAATAATTTTTTGTGCGACTGTTGATGCAAAAGTGACTGAAGGCCTGAGCGCAGTTTTTGAATTTTATTGCAAGATGCACGGTGAAATCACGTGCCTTGTGACGCAAGAATGCCAAGTCGCGTGGCCCACGGCTCACGAGATTTCAGAGTCACCTTTATCAAGTTCGCTTGTTACTCGCCTTGAACGCCCGTCGGTCTGGAAGTGATCACACTTGTGTTGTTACTGCGCTCAAGAACGCGCTGACCGTGTTGTAGGCCTACGAACCGGGACTTTCCCTGACCATGTAGGTCGAAGACCAGTGAAATGATGATGAAATCACATTCTTTATGACGTAAGAAATCTCTCATGCAGTTCACGCGACAAGTGCGTGCAGCCAGTGCTGCTCGCGTGCCAGTCAACACAAAGGGACCGAGCTAGCCGCTTTTGTCGAGCATCGACATGAAAACAAGGGACTTTTACTGTTGGACTATGTTCGGGATTGCAGGAGGTAAGTGTGAAAGACGAATAACTCTCCATGCTGTACGGGTCATATTTCAACGGCTTGCTGCCATTGCAACACTCCGAGGACAGTTAGTGGGGGTTCTCAGCATTTCAAGCAGGAAATGAAGCTCATCTTACCTCTGCCATCATGGTCTGTTCCGAGTAGCGTTCCAGGCACATTCGCGATCGATGGCCGCGTATCGATGCATGCAGGAAGCGTCATCCTACGTCATAGAGCACGCGATCTCAAAGTGCATCTTGCAATAAAATTCAAAAACTGCGCTCAGGACTTCAGTCACTTTTGCATCAACAGTAGCACAAAAAATTATTGGTAGCGCAAGGAGAAGCTTGTCGTTTGGAGTGACAAGTGATCACCGCTGCTTTTCCTTGTCAGAGTCAACACTACACTTTGTTCTGCAGCCTTGGGAGTAGTGTTGGAGTAGAAATTGCTGAGGAGACGTCCCGGAGTGGCGAGCTTTCCTGCGCAGGTATGACTTTGACCGTATTTCAGCAGGGTCGAGTGGAAAAATTCAAAAAAGTTTATTTCAAGAAAACCCCAAAAGGAAGATGGGGGACATGTCCTCAGCGCTAGAAGAGGTGTTCTACTATCTGCCGGTGTATAGTTCTGACCAATTGAGGACGTAGCTGGCTGTTTTGCCAGCGCTTGTAAATTGGCTATTTTCAAGACGATCATTTGTGGCGTCAGGGGGTGATGGACCTCGTCTTCTGGGATGCTGGCGTGGCTAAGCGGTACTGCTCCAGGAACTCTTCTAAGGTGAGGCAATGTTGGCTTGATGGAGTTTTGTTCATAGCTTGTTCTTATACGCTGTGGTGTGACTCGTTTCTAGACCCATAAATAATGTGATATTTCGGCAATTTTTGAGGGGTATGCAAATTTCAAGGTTCCCTTCAGAAACTTTTTCAAGGGCTTTGCCCAATCGATCCACACCCCAAAGGCAACCTACCTGCAAATTTTGAGCGAAATCGGCGAGATCCACTTGCACACATACTTTGGTATTCTCAGACATGCTCTCTTAATCATTTTATATGCACAAACCTCCACTTCAGTGTGAATATATGTTGATATCACCACTGTAATCAAATCATTAGGTTTTCTTATGCCTATACAGAGCTAGGCTATAGAAGAAGGCAAGAAGCACCATTTGGCCCTCGAAAAGTCTGCGTTGAATACACCACTATCACTGCTGCACTCTGTGGCCGACCACAATCATATACTTCCCACAACAACAAGAGTTTGGTTTTGTTTGTTTATTTACGGATTCTGCAGAGGTAAATGGATACCTATCATGAGAGTCTCCCCAAACCAAAAAAATAATTTGAAACTCGGGTATTGAGCCAATAATAAAAGTAGAAAGGAAAAGGACATATGGAAACGAGTTAGGAGTAACTCTCCACCACTGTAACTAGAAGCTAGGTGTCAGGACGTCGAATGTCTCAGTACTCTGTCAGTTTTGTGCCTAGTTGTTGCACTTTCTGACTGTATATAGTATCTAGTTACAGTGGTGGAGAGTTACTCCTAACTCGTTTCCATATGTCCTTTTCCAAAAAAATAATGAAAATAAAATTATGTATAGAGTTAAAAAAACTCAAAATCTGAGATTTTTAAGAGATTCCTTTGGAGTACTGTAAAACCAGTATTTATAGCACCGGTGGTAATTTTGCCATTTTATCGAAAGGAATTTTTTTGCTACAGTTAAAGCAGCACTAATCGAACTATTGCATGCGTAATATAGCACTTGTCGTCTTCCTGTTCAATTCTGAAACTCGAAATTGAAAAAAAATCACCGCGAATTGGTGTAAATCCAGAGAAAGGCAACAAAATTAATGGTTACAATTAGTAATTCTACAGTACTGAAACACTCTTCCGACTAACTGCTCCTTTGGTCATTGAGAGGTTATTGGAGAAAGCTCAGCTGTTGGATGACTTTTCCCTTTCTAATTTTTTCGTTCGGTCTTTGGATGATTTTCCCTTTCCAATTTTTCTTAACCCTTTGTGTACACTGTATGCGCAGGGTACTCATCGGTAATAATGGACCTATAGCATGAAACTAAGACACATTTTGTCTATGGAAGTTATGCTTTTCTGAATCTGTTGGTATCAAATGTGTCCAGGTAAGAAAATATTTGACCGAGCACCACAACTATAGATACAGGCCATACCTGAAATACCTATTTCTGAGTCAATTGTCCATATTCCTGACAATTTAGATCAGTGTACTTTTGAATCGTGTAGAGACTTGCTAACATTGCCCTGCTTCACACAGAGCGACAGGAGACCACTGCACTAGAGTACAGCCGCCATTGCTTGAACAATAGCAAAATGGACGGAAAAGAGCCATATTGCGTAAATACCAGGTGCCAAACAACTGCATCAAAATTTCAAAATACAGGTAGACTCCCTCTAATTCGAATACGGTATAATTCGAACATTCCGCGTAATTTGAACTTTTTCGTCGTTCCGATCTTCTGCAAGTCACTTCAAGTCAAAATCGAATGCATAATTCGAAGTACGAAAAGTGCGCCGGTTGGATAATTCGAACCCAGTCTTCGTACAGAAGAGCTGTTTACAGTACATTGGCTATGTCCTTTGAACGCTTATTTCGAAGTGAGATTGAGTTGCTATCCTTGTAATTCGAAGTTCATTTTTTTCTTCTTCTCTAGCCAAGAGTAGCTCAAAAATCGATCGATGGTCCGCTGCAGGATCGACTATAGCGTTCAAGAAACCCACCTTCTCTCGAAATTTGATTCCAGCTCGTGCGAGGCGATTTGCAAAGGTTTGATTGAAGACGACTTCTTCCAGGTGGCTGACTCTCTTCGCAGATCTTGATGGCCTTTCCTACCGCGCCAGCTCGTGCACAGAGATGTTGGGGCACAACAACACTATTGTTGTAAATATTGTCTATGCCTAGCCTATGCTTCACTTCCGTTCTTCAGAACGACGTGCTGCTGTCCGACGGCCTTTCATGACGCGGATTAGACAACGCAGTTCTTTTCCGTTGAAATTGTTTCAGGAAAGCTGCAGTGACTGACAACTTCTTCACTAGAAGATGAAGATAATGTCAAAATGATTTTGTGTCGATCCAGTGTTTTGATGATCCGTTGTACCAAGGCAAGAGTGCACACACGTTTATGGACTCTTGGTTGTACATGACCGGTACGACCACCTATGTTTCGTAGTCAAAAGACAAGGACATGTGCTTTTATAGCAGTGAATTGCACACATTAGATACAGATGGAAATGTGCTTTTATCGCGATAAACTGCACACATTAGATACAGATGATTAAATACAGTGAAACATGTAGATGATGTACTCGTTGAGGCTGTCATTAAACTACGTTCACCGACTCTCTTCTACGTCCAGGTCTCACGGTGAAAATTCCAAACGGGCGGTTGTCTCATCATTCCATTCAGCCACAGTTTTTGACCCGTACATGCGGTCACGTTTTTGGAGAAATTGAGAGCATGTCTGATAAACCCAGAAAAGCTGGGCTGGGTTATCTCTTCGACTTCGCTCAAGTTTTGTAAGTATGTCTCCTTTGGGGTCTACAACAACCATGCAAAAGGGCTCGCTGCATAACTTACGGACACCTTGGAACTGGGAACCACCTCGAAGTGGGCCTAAAATACGACTGAATTTTGTTTCCAAAAATTAGCCCTGGTACAGCGTACACAATGGAGACGCGTGCGGCCAGTGATGATTCACCCTGGGATGCGCCGAGCACAGTGAGCCAACCGCTGCCACTGCACTGGCTGCTATTATAGCTGATGCAGTTGCTGTGGTTGCTACTCCAGTTACTTGGCATCCTCACTGTCCATCATTTTTCTTGAAGTAGGTAGGGTTGCTTGAGGATTCAAGCTTTACGAGGCGCCCAAGAAAAAGAAAGACCCATTCTGGATCGCGAAGTCGCATATGATGCAAGCGCCGTATACGCCGAGAGTTGCTGTACTCTAGTCTAGGTTGCCGTAGAACACCAGGATCATATCAAGCATGTTATAATGACATTTCTCCATTCTGAAGTCAACACTGACCAGTTATAGCACTGCTTGCCATTGCTTGTCTGATCTTTGTCGTCAATTGCCTAAATTGAATGAATTTTGAGGAAAGATCGCCAAAAGTCTAATCTAAATCTAAATATGGTGTTATGAGTCTCGTACAATGAAATCCTTCAAAATTTCTTAGGATTCACAGTGCGTATGTCCATACCCAACATCTCCAATCAATTTTGGACCAGAATATGCATTTTCAAAAAATGTCATTTTTGGCCCAGTGGGAGGTGATTTTCCGGTCAGGGCTGAAAGGGTTAATATCTCTAGTCAAACGGATCAAAAACTGTGTATTGTTGTTCATTCTATTCGTCTTAACAAAGCCCTGCCACACTTGCGTAAATATAACTGGTTTTTTCCACTCGTCCTAGGCGCAATCACTGCACTTTGCCAAAAGCCCGAACATCAGCTTATACCAGATCTCCGTTTTTCGCTGCCTATTCTCTCTGGCTGGCTCTGCCTCTATAAGTGAAATCGTCTTGTATGCTAAATGATTTCGAGGCCAACATGAAGCTCGTTTTTAATAACTGCTAATTCTTCATCGAGATTTGTTTCTCTTTGCCTCCAGTAATGCGTTATTTTTATTTATTTTTGCTTTGTTTTTGTTTATTGCCATGGCTGGCTACCAACAACCCCCCCCCCCCCCCACCAATCCCCCACCTCCCTCCACATTGGCCTATATTCTCTGGCCACGGGAAGGTGAAATAAATAAATAAATAAATAAATGTGTGCCGCTACCCATAACCGTGCATAAAAAACAGGGAATATTTGCATTCAAGAGTAGCTGTTAATTGTTGAGCTTTCCTTTTTGGTCAGGAAAATAAACTGAAAAATTAAACATAGGAAGTGCCATGCTCTTTTATCCCAGCATAAAGTGGTACTAAAATTCGACTCTCCGTATATGACCTATTGTGATGTACGAGAAGCCATAAGAATAACATAACCCGCGCTATAGTCGTGCAATATTATTAATATTTACTTGGGCCCAGTGCGTGATCTCATGTAATATGCCTTTTCTTATTACAGCTAATGTCTGCATGACTTTGCCATCAATCAACAATGGCGGAGCAACAGCCAGCAGCATGACAAAGTAGGGTGAACTACATGTCCACTGGCACACCGGGCATGAGTTTACTGGAATGGAGAGAGTCTTTACAATTGTAGCACTCGCGCATTACTCCACTTCTGATTCACCAGGGTGGATTGTCTGAATCTCCCCTTTCTTTATATCGGAATGGTTTTCGCTCCCCACACTGGATCTGCCGCTTTTCCGCCAACTTAACTAGCCCTTACTGATGAGGGATGAATTCTCCAAAAAGCATGTACTGAGCAAGGAGTTGCACTTTCTTGCAAGTTTCCGGAAATAAAAGCTTGTTGCACGTATTGCATGCTCTCGATGCTAGTCATGAGTCAGTCTAGTCTCAAGTCAAGTCCACGGAAAAGCTTGAACTCCGGTGTGGAGAGTAAAGTGTGTTACCATTGCCGAAGTCGTTACCACTATTTCCTTTCTTTAGAATTAAAATTATGTTATGACATTGGATCGGCTCTTCCTACACAGTCCATGCTATCGGGAATACATGAACTAAGAGTTTGAAACTTCTATCTCGAGCTGTGATTGGTCCATCCATGGAAGAACTGTTGATAGCGTCATTCTTTGGGAGAAGTACTGGAATGTGTCCCGAGAGCGCCCAGCCGTCTCGTTCTTTCGTGCTCGTGTTGTGCGAAGTTCGATTTGTTTCATTGACCAGGGCTATGGTTTTGAGGAGTCACTCTCCACAGAATACTGTAAGTGAACAAATGCACGGCCTATTCAAATTTCGGCCTCCCAGGGCTAAAACACATTTCGGCTGCAACAAATTTTCGGCCAGATATGATCAGGCCGAAGATAGCCGAAAATTCACATGGGCCGAACATTTGCTGACTTACAGTACAAGCTATATGCAAAGAAAAGCAGCACAGAGGGTATGGTACTCACGTGTGCACATTGGATTGGCAGTTGACCATGACCCGTCGCCTTGACATATTGTGTAACTCGTACCACTCAATTGATAACCTTCCATACAACTGTACTGACGCACTGATGAAAATGTATTAGTTCCGCTGGACACAGCACCATTTGTCAGTGCTGCTGGTGGAGAAGGGCAAGTGATCTCTGCATAGGGCAAACACACCCACAGACACACAAATACACATGTACAACAAAAGAATGGCTACCACCATTCTGGAGCTCTTTTCAAGCACAACATGCAATGGAGAGTAGAAGTGCAAGCAATTTCCAACAATGTCCAACACAGAGATAGCTATTATAGCAATAGGAATGAAAGTTAGTCATGACCACATACAACCTATACAGATACAGAACATAGCAAGTCATCCACAATATTAATCATTTTATATGCACAAACCTCCACCTCAGTGTGAATATATGTTGATATCAACACTGTAATCAAATCATTAGGTTTTCTTATGCCTATACAGAGCTAGGCTATAGAAGAAGGCAAGAAGCACCATTTGGCCCTCGAAAAGTCTGCGTTGAATACACCACTATCACTGCTGCACTCTGTGGCCGACCACAATCATATGAGCCGTCAGATGAGAAAACAGACCTTATCACAAAAAAGTCATATTTTTGTTTGTGGTGCTATCTGATTGCCAGGAGCACCAGGAATCGTATGCAGAAAACCAGAGTTGATTTGGACCAGGGAAAGTAAAGTTATAGCCTTGACAGTAGGAGACCATTACAAATTGCACCTCAATTTTGGGTGCAATACCAACAATTGTTTCACCTACTTTGGATAATATTTTCTGTTTCCTTTGACCGATTTCCACAAACTTGGGCTTTCTGGAAAGCTCTGGCTACAAGCAACCCGTTGGGCCCTAATCCGATAGCAAATAAAGCACAGCTCCAGCGCAACAAGCTACAAACATCGCTTCAGCGCTAGACTTGCGCCGTCACACGAAAATCGCTCGCCATTTCCATCTCCATTATCCCAGGACGCCCAATTTTTTTCGTGAAGATGCAGTGAGAGCTTCCAAGACGTCTGAGCCTGTTGCCGAGATCGTTGATTGCTTGAAAAGGGGGAAATCCCTGGTCTGGAGCGTTTGACTCGCGTGTAGAAATGCAAAGTGCCGTGACGTATCTTGCAGGCTTCGCATCTCGGGAACGCGTCATCGTGCCGCGATCGCGCTTGCTGCATTGGATTCCCTGGAGTTTTCTCTTCGATTTACATACTTGGATTGTCCCAAAAGACCGATATTTGACTGAAATACGACGGTTTGTAGCTTGGTTGTCCAGACGCACCAGTGGGTAAACTCGCCAACTTTCAAGTGCACTTTTCTGCACTGTACAGTTTTTCGATAAGGTCTGTTTTCTCATCTGACGGCTCATATACTTCCCACAACAACAACAGTTTGGTTTTGTTTGTTTATTTACGGATTCTCCAGAGGTAAATGGATACCTATCATGAGAGTCTCACCAAACCAATAAAATAATGAAAATAGAATTATGTATGGAGTTAAAAAAACTCAAAATCTGAGATTTTTAAGAGATTCCTTTGGAGTACTGTAAAACCAGTATTTATAGCACCGGTGATAATTTTGCCATTTTATCGAAAGGAATGTTTTTGCTACAGTTGAAGCAGCACTAATCGAACTATTTCATGCATAATACAGCACTTGTCATCTTCTTGTTCAATTCTGAAACTCGAAATTGAAAAAATCACCGCGAATTGGTGTAAATCCAGAGAAAGCCAACAAAATTACCGGTTACAATTAGTAATTCTACAGTACTGAAACACTCTTCCGACTAACTGCTCTTTCGGTCATTGAGACCTTATTGGAGAAAGCTCAGCTGTTGGATGACTTTTCCCTTTGCAATTTTTCTTAACCCTTTGTGTACCAGGCATCTACTGTATCCGCAGGGTACTCATCGGTAATGATGGACCTATAGCGTGAAACTAAGACACATGTTGTCTATGGAAGTTATGTTTTTCTTAATCTGTTGGTATCAATGTGTCCGGGTACTAAAAATATTTTGACCGAGCACCACCACTACAGATACAGGCCATACCTGGAATACCAATTTCTGAGTCCATTGTCCATATTTCTGACAATTTAGATCAGTGTACTTTTGAATCGTGTATAGACTTGCTAACATTGCCCTGCTTCGCACTGAGCGACAGGAGACCACTGTACTAGAGTACAGCCGCCCTTTGCCTGCTTGAACAATAGCAAAATGGACGGAAAAGAGCCATAATGCGTAAATACCAGGTGCCAAACATTTGCATCAAAATTTCAAAATACAGGTAGACTCACTCTAATTCGAATACGGTATAATTCGAACATTCCGTGTAATTCGAACTTTTTCGTCGTTTCCATCTTCTGCAAGTCACTTCAAGTCAAAATCGAATGCATAATTCGAAGTACGAACAGTGCGCCGGTTGGATAATTCGAACCCAGTCTTCGTACAGAAGAGCTGTTTACAGTACATTGGCTATGTCCTTTGAACGCTTATTTCGAAGTGAGATTGAGTTGCTATCCTTGTAATTCGAAGTTCATTCTTTTCTCCTTCTCTCGCCAAGAGTAGCTCAAAAATCGATCGATGGTCCGCTGCAGGATCGACTATCGCGTTCAAGAAACCCACCTTCTCTCGAAATTTGATTCAAGCCCGTGCGAGGCGAATTGCAAAGGTTTCATTGAAGACGACTTCTTCCAGGTGGCTGACTCTCTTCGCAGATCTCGATGGCCTTTCTTCCCGCGCCAGCTCGTGCGCGGAGATGTTGGCGCACAACAACACTATTGTTGTAAATATTGTCTATGCCTATCCTATGCTTCACTTCCGTTCTTCAGAACGACGTGCTGCTGTCCGACGGCCTTTCACGACGCGGATTAGACAGCGCAGTTCTTTTCCGTTGAAATTGTTTCAGGAAAGCTGCAGTGACTGACAACTTCTTCACTAGAAGATGAAGATAATGTCAAAATGATTTTGTGTCGATCCAGTGTTTTGATGATCCGTTGTACCAAGGCAAGAGTGCATAAACGTTTATGGACTCTTGGTTGTACATGACCGGTACGACCACCTATGTTTCGTTGATGCAAATAAAAATGTGGAAAAAATATTCAGCATGTACTTTCAAGCATTTTGACATACATATCAGTGCATGGGGCTGCATTTGGATAATTAGAAGTTCAGGATAATTCGAAGTTAGCGCCTGGCAATTTGAGGTTCAAATTAAATGGAGTCTACCGGTATTGAAATTGTGTCAGATTTGAGTATGTACCTTTCGCTTAGCTACTCACGTCCAACGAGGGTCTTGGTGATTGAAAAGACCAGGAATAGTCACTGGGTGAGGAATTTCACCTGCCTTGATTATTTCAGGCCATCGCTGTGCTCCCTTTCGCTGCTGCTTGGAGAGCGAATACTGCAATGGCTTCAGCGATGGAAATTCTCATTTTCGATTCAGACCCTGAGACTATATCGTTGCTACAACTCTCTCCAGGCATTCACCATCACTAGTACACATCGACAACAGCTAGAGCAAGCTATACTTCCGATAGAAGCAGTGTAAACGAACAGAAACATGTTCGAAATTGCTAAAATATATCGTAGAGCGCTGAAATTGAAAAGCGCACTTTTCACCGCGATCGTTCTCCGTACTTTCAAATGGAACTTAAAAATTCCCCTTTGGGCTTCGTGATCTTCAACTTGCATTTCTCGGGCATGGCATCATGTTATCGGTTCAGAGAAAAGTTAACTTGGGCTGCATCTTGACTGTGACTGGTACCTTATGGCCCGCGATCTGCTAAAACCACCCTTCGGTGCTGTGTAATTTTTCGGAGAAAATGATGAAAACGTCAGCACGTCTCGATTTTCTCATCATCGCAGGTGACAGTTATGGCGGAAGGAGGATGACGGCGCTCGTTCGCACAAACTGTTGTCGGATTCTCGGCAGCGGGGTCGTCAGCGCTTCCAAAATGACGATAGATCGTTCTTCGGGTGGTCAGATCAAGATTCTGACGACCAGAGCGATAACGAATCGACCAACGTCTCTTCGCTCGTGACCCTGCCGATCGCGCTTGCGATCGATGCGAAGGAGAATTTGGACGAGGCGCCAGCGCTACAGCCAGCACAAGCCCTCGCCGCCCGAGGACAGGGCCAACATAAGAAATCCCGTGGCCAGGCGGCGCCCAGTACTGTTGAAGAGGTACAGGCGGGAGTGGACAAGGGCTGCAGTTGTGCCGATGTCAACTGTTTCAAGAACTAACTTGTCACAGGATACTCTACTCACTGCACGCAACACAGCGCTCGCAATGACGAACGAGGAGCTGTACTGTTACGTCGCTGGAAAGCTCGATGTGTTTAGACGACGCGGTGCAGTTACTTCTCACCATGGAAGCATCGCACAACGGATGCAGCGCGGAGAGAGGTCCGGTCCACTTATCGCTATGAAGTGGAGGATGACGAAGTGTGCCAGATAGTTTTCATGTACGCACATAATAATTATGTAAAGGAGTGGAAGCTAAAACGGCGGATGTCTATGAGTATGAGCATGCTGTCGCTCCCCCTCAGCACGCACATGAGGGTACTTTGCCCTGGAATGCACTTCCTGCAACTATGGTGACATCAATGGACTTCCCCAGCCTGCTGCCCCAGGGCCAGAGGCCCACTCCAACTTAACTGCCATTTGCTACTACCAAGAAGCATGCGCATACTGAATATATCAAGGCTAGAGGAACAGCAGCATACACAACGTTCCTGAAAATATGGAGCAGAGAGTGCAGTGATGTGATAATTATGAGGCCAAAAGAAGATGTGTGCGGTGTATGTTCCGATTTGCAGTCTCAGATTGTAAGGGCAAGAACGGCAGAAACTCGCTTAAGCTTACTGACGCACTCAAAGCTCATACTGATGAAGCTAACGTGGCCCGTGACCGTTATCAAAAGTGTATTACTGCCTGGCATCTGATCATCTGCCAGTGACGCTCGAGACGGCTGGAATCTCACCAAGCGTGCAAAGTACTTGCACCAACAGATTCGTCAGCACTGCCACGCAGAGAGCAGAGATATCACATGCCCAGCACCAGACCAAGCAGAGCCAACGTCCTAATTATATGTTCGGAACATACATAGTAGAATACTGGATAACTGTGCAAAATAGTTTTTCTCTGTACATAGACAGGTGTATGACAGGTGTATGAAGCCTCAGATACGAATTATAGTGTTAATATCAATTATTTTCGGCATTTTTATGCACCAAAAGCTTGCATAAGATCGGTCATATTTCAATGAATATATACAATTTGAGCCTAATACTTCACCATATGTTCGGGCAATGGCCAGGGACCCGTCAGGCGAAATAGCACGTCATAGTACATTCGAGATCAGCGGGAAGAAGATGACGACGTCCACTAATTTAGTATCTGTGCACACGATTCTGCTGTGTGTGCTACTCTGTGTGTCAGCTATGGCATCATCGCCTGTGGTTCCATGCCTAGCATGTACGTCTGAACCATCCTACAAAGTTTGAATGACGTAGGTTGAGCGATCGCTCCGCGAAACATGCTTTTTGAAATTCTCTTCATAGTATATCTTCCACCATTGAAATTTCGAATTTCTTCGAATTTTTTGCTGGGAGGGGTGGCTTGCAACCTCGATATGGCTTGTTCCAGGCATGCTTTGGAGCCATCGCCTGTTGAAACAGTGGCGGGAAGCTGCCCTGCAACTGTTCCAGCAGGAAATTAATCGATCCGAGAAAGCGCGAGTCCGCGAATCTCGGTTGAGTATTGAGTATTTCAAGCCTTTTCACGACGAAGATGGAGTTCTTTTTGGAGATGGACGTCGCGACAAAGGACATGGTGTCCGACTTCTGGCGTCTGGTGAAGCCAGGGATCATTTGTCCAGTCAGGTCGGCAGCCTAACCGTCGGTAAGCTTGTGTTTGGATCCCGTTCTGCTCGATGTGGTAGATCACAAACAATTTGAGCATCGCACAAATTGATTTCAGCATCGTGCGTACGGTATTTTATATTCAGAAAATCCCAAAGTGTCTCTGTGTGGCCGTCCTATGCCACGAGAAACTCCAATCAGGCTCCTATGTCCTCTGCCTTCATGATTGAATGTCCACTTCGTTTGAACACAACAATCGAGGACGGCTGTGCAATGAAAAATACAGCTATACTAGAGCTGAAAAAAGAAGAAAAAAAACGGCTCAGGATGAGACTCGAGTACACGCATACTCTCCCAGCAGGTGAAATGCAAATTTTTGTGAAAAATGCGTGACGCCGACTGACCAGTAATTTCGCCTGACGAACTTCCCGCCAAAAACTCATTTTCGGCAAAATAGCACCAAAGGGTGGTTTTAGCAGATCCTTGGCCTTATGGTCTTCAATCCGACTCTCATGCCAGTGTAACTAACCGCAGCACAAAGAAATGTGTTACATTATGTGTTGGAAAGTGTTTGTTACTTACTTGTACACGTTGGACTGATTGCAGACCAGCTCTGACTGGTGAGACACGTAACACTTGACGCGCCCGTTAACCGATATCCAACATTGCAGCTAAAACTTGCCTTTGAACCAAAAGTTAAGTCATCCACGTAGACATATCCATTGGTAGGGGCCGATAGAATCCGGCATATGTTTACTGTGGACATAAGAGCGTGGAAACATAATTATCTAGAGAGATAACAAGAAATTTCACATCTGAACGAAAAGCTTTATCGGCCATTTCGGTGCTCCATGCATACACCATCGCATTGCATTATGCAACCAGAATTACATTTTACAAATGTCATTATTTGTGCAATTTGAATTTGCTGTTGACCATGTACCGTCAGCCTGGCAGACAGTGTACCTACTTCCACTGAGGGCATTGCCTGGGTTACAAAAAAATCCTCGCACTGTCAAATATGTTGTCCCTCCCATTTCTACACCACCATCGGTTACTTGTGGAATTGGTGCCGAACACATAATTCCTGTTGAAGAAGAAAAAATACCGTATTTTCCGGGGTATAAGCCGCCCCCCCCCCCCTTTTTGAGGCAAAATATTGACTAAAAGTTGGTATTCGGAGTATAAGCCGCACCCACAAACCAAGGTTTTTCACACTCATTGACAAATGGCCTTTCTACAAATTTACTATGGTTATGGAGCTAAATACCATGTTAGATCAGATTATGAAGTGTTAGTGCACCACAGGTTGCTGCAGAGATGTTGGTGTATTGCTGTGTTGACTACAGATCACTCCATGTCATCTGCACTATCTTCAGTCTCGCTGCCAGTGCCACTGATTTTGATCAGCAACACAGGCGTGAAGCTGAGTCGAACGACATGTCACATGACGTCAGCATGCATATGTATGTGATGTATGCTAAGAATTCATTCGTGCAAGCATATTCGGTGTATAAGCCGCAGGGGCGATTTTGGTCCGATTTTTAGAGAAAAAAGGGCGGCTTATGCCCCGGAAAATACGGTAATGGGAAAGCAATCATCGAAGTTCCTCACTTGATCACCCATGCACATGAAATACGACTTCAGTAGCCAGATGAACCTGTTTGCCCGCCGTACTTTCGTTGTCGGTGTTATTCAGCTTGATCTAGAATATGCTCTCGCTGTATACCTTTCGTTTATATCCGCTAAAAATAGAAACAAGCTAGCCTCACTCCACCGGCGCGCTTCATGAGTTGCTTGTGGCGCATCACCCCAAGCTAATGTCATGCCACTTCTTCACCTCCTCAATGTTTCCTCTTTCCAATATCGATCAGTATTTATGTTCCTTGTATTCATTTTCCACTGTTACTGTATTAAGCCAACTGTTTGCTTGCAGTCCCTCTTTCCCATCTGTACGTCTACCCGAACTACTCGCGACTCAACAACTCATAACATGAGTATCAATCGCTATAGATCTATGTCTGGCTTTTTTCAAGTAAATCGGCACTTGTTTGGAATTATTTACCAGACGACCTGAAGTCCTGCTACTATCGCAGATTTCCGCGTCAAATTGGCTATTTGGCTAAAAACAGCTTAACTCTTAATTTCCTTCAAGCAATGTGCATAATCAGTAAATTGATGTTGCTGTTTTAGTTTTGTTTTGTTTTTGGTTTCCCGCTCTCGGGGCCTTCTATTCGGTACTCTTTGTAGTTGTACTTCTGTACTGTTGAGCTATCCGAATTCTAATAAACACAAAAAAAGTAGCAACACCAATTCGCAAATAATGATAACATTGGCATTTCCACTTACTTGAACACGTGGGCTGAGTGCCGGACCATTTTCCATTTGACAAACAAACCGTATCTGTACTACCAGTCAGCATATATCCGGTCATGCAGGAGTACTGACGAGATGATAAATAGGTGTTTGCAGAACTGGACACAGTGCCGCTTACTGGAGGTGGCGTAGCCAAAGGACATGTAATCTCTGTAGTCAAAAGACAAGGACATGTGCTTTTATAGCAGTGAATTGCACACATTAGATACAGGTGATTAAATACAGTGAAACATGTATATGATGTACTCGTTGAGGCTGTCATTAAACTACGTTCACCGACTCTCTTCTACGTTCAGGTCTCACGGTGAAAATTCCAAACGGGCAGTTGTCTCATAATTCAGCCACAGTTTTTGACCCGTACAGTCGGTCACGTGTTTGGAGAAATTTCAGAGTATGTCTGAGAAACCCAGAAAAGCTGGGCTGGGCCATCTCTTAGATTTCGATCAAGTTTTGCAAGTACGTTTCCTTTGGGGTCTACAACAACCATGCAAAAGGGCTTGCTCCATAACTTACGGACACCTTGGAACTGGGACCACCTCGAAATGGGCCCAAAATACGACTGAATTTTGGGTCCAAAAACTAGCGCTGGTACAGCATACACAAGGAGCTGAAAACAAACCAGCACCATGCCAACATTACCTAACCTGAGTAGTCTTCGCATTACCACCACATAGAGCCATGGCTACATCCAGGAAAGCAATGGCTATCATCTCCAAATATCACTAATTTGCATCGCTAAAATAGCGAAATTTCGAGGGCCACGGCGGGAACCACTTACGTCGTCTATTGTCCTGAAACTTGCACTGCAGGACAGTGGACTATCTCCACTACCACCACCCAGGACATGTCTCGTAAAAAGGGTTCTACGTTTTCTGATCTTAATCATCGATCACCTCGATCTGCAATGTCAAGTGGAGGTCGGCGCACGGCCAGTTTCCGGACCCAAAAATATCATGCTTTAATCGCACAAATTGAGATTTGCTCAATATTTTTTGAATTTCTGCAGAGCTTCGCTGCTGCCGAAATTCGAGTCCTTCAGGGAAGGAAATGCGTTCCGAGAGCGCCCAGCCGTCTCGTTCTTTCGTGCTCGTGTTGTGTGATGTTCGATTTGTTTGATTGCCCAGGGCTATGCTTTTCAGCAGTCACTCTCTACAGAATACTGTAAGTCGACAAATGTTCGCCCCATTCAAATTTCGGACTCCCAGGGCTAAAACACATTAGAGCTGCAACAAATTTTCGGCCAGATATGATCAGGCCAAAGATAGCCGAAAATACACATGTGCCGTAAATTTATTGACTCACCATACCAGCTATATGCAATGAATAGTAGTGCAGAAAGTATGATACTCACGTGTGCACATTGGATTGGCAGTTGACCAAGACCCATCGGCTTGACATACTGTGTAACTCGTTCCACTCAATTGATAACCTTCGTTGCAACTGTACTGAAGTACTGATGAAAGTGTATTGGTACCAGTGGTTACAGCACCATTTGCTGGTGCTGTTGTTGGAGAAGTGCATGTGATCTCTGCATATAGCAAACACACCCACAGACACACTAATAATTATACATGTACAACAAAAAAGGCTACAACTATTCTAGAGCTCTTTTCAGGCAAAACATGCTATGCAGAGTAGATATCCATGCAATTTCCAACCCATAGATAGATATTATCGCAATAGTAATGAAGTTCAGTTATAACAACATACAACCTATAAAGATACAGAACATAACATGTCATCTACAACATTAATCAATTTACATGTACAAACCTCCCCCTCAGGGTGAATACGTATGTGTTATTACCCGAGTATCAGGGCAATACCGGCAGATATCGTAGCCGGTATTGCCCGTACTACGAGGCTAATAACACATTTACGACATGCATACTTTCCTAATTTGATGTACTCATAAACGTACACTGCCTTCACACGTGGAATTCGGAATCATGGTACTACGAAAAACTGCGAGGCACATGTATCCAACTCGTATTATATCTACATGCGCACCTCTTGTATGTGTATGTGTACAGTGTGTATGGGGTCAAATGCCGGGCAATATCGTGTAATATTGGACCGCCTGAGCGGGCTTGTATAGAGAAATATTGCCCGCTCTATCTGGTCGCTGATTGGCTGTAGACCTGGAAACGGTCACCTGACATGTAATAAGTATCTAATATTGACTGAGAACGAGGTCAATATAGGAAATAAATGCCGAGTAAAAGACCGAGGCGAAGCCGGGGTCTTTTACGACGTTTTTATTTCCTATACTGACCAAGTACGAAATCAATATTAGATTTATCACGACACAAAAATCCGTATTTCAAATTCCAGAACGATAACCTCATGAATCCCGGTTTTATGATTGCACAACCGTTGCACCACCACCTACTCATGCAGTGACAATGCTGCACTAGGCACCGTTCAACTGCACAACCCATAAGCAGTCAAATATAAGCAGTCAATGTAGCCCTAAGGAGTGAAATATGCAGGAATATCTGACTGCTTAGGTATAGCGAAAATCAATGGGAGTCAATACTAAGGGAATGATAAAGGCTTTTATCATCCATATAATCAAATGATTTGGTATTCTTATGGTTTTACTCTGCTAGGCTGTAAAAGAAGGCAAGCAGCACCATTTGACCCTTGAAAATTTCACCACGAATTGGTCTAAATCCAGAGAAAGGCAACAAAATTACCGGCTACAATTTTTCATTCTACAGTACTGAAACACTATTCCGACTAACAGCTGTTTCGGTCATTGAGACCTCATCGGAGAACGCTGAGCTTTAGTATGACTTAATTAACCATTTTCCATTCTCTCAACTAGTGAATGTAATGTATGTACTGTATACACAAGGAGATATTTTAGTCTTCTCACCGGTACAGCTGGCTATGGGAATTTCCCAGGAGCCAGTAGACAGGCATTTGGAAGTTGCCATTCCCGACAACTTATAGCCGGTGTTGCAGTGGACGTGTAGTACACCATACTTTGTCATGCTGCTGGCTGTTGCACCGCCATTGTTGATTGTAGGCAAGGTCTTGCAGACAATAGCTGTAAGCAGACAAGGCATAATTCCAAGAGATCACACACACGGGGCTAAACAAATATCAGTTAGGTCAGGTTTTGTTCTACCTATGGCTTCTGGTATGTCAGACTTGGATGTAACTGAAGAGGCCAGTTTATAAACGACTTCCTAAAACATAGTAGCGCAATGTAGTGGAATAAAATACCATAGCATCTCCTTTGTTTATTTCTCTGCTTTTTCTGTCAGAAGGCTGGCTATCATGATAAACTTTCAAGAATTTACGTCGTTAAGGAAATGTAAAATCCATATACAGGTTTCAGGTATACTTTCCTATGGCAAGGTAATTGATGGGATGTCCATTTTCCCATTCACTGTCCTTTTCGGTATTTCGCTAATTCAACTGCATGGCATGTCCAGTTCTATTACCTTCACATTCTGGAATGGTTGTCCATAACTGAGATGCCTGGCAGGTGACGGTTTGAGGACCAAACATTTCAAATCCGCTATTGCAAGTGACATTGACATTTGTACCAACGAGTTGGTTCGCTGTGCTGTAATTGGCATTGGGAATGTTGAGGATCGGGCAAATCGCTGTGGTTGGAAAAAGAAAAGAGCAACATTCAATTGCCCCATATAATATACTATCACCAGCAAAGTGGAACACATATTTCATGGCAACTCAGAGTATCACGCTTTCGCGCTCCTCAGGCAAAATCAAGAAATAGGATCTTCAGTTCGGCTGCTGCACACAGTTGCAGTGGTAGCTTCCCATATCTGCTTCTTCGCAAACATTTGCCATAACTACCCAGGCTCTTTATGTCTCTCCCTCTGTCTGTTTCCCTCTATCTCTCTCTCTCACTCTCTCTCTCGCTCTCTCTATCTCTCTATCTCTATCTCTATCTGTCTCTCTCTCTCTCTCTCTCTCTCTCTCTCTCTCTCTCTCTCTTCCTCCCTCCCTCTCTCCCTCTTTCTCCCTCCCTGAGTGCAGTTTTTGAAATTTCCTGGAAGAATCATGGTAAAATCACGTGCATAGTGATGCAAAAATCTCGCGGACCACGGCTCCCGAGACATCCGAATCACCTTTGTCCAGTATGTTGCCTGGAACGGCCGCTGGTCTAGAAGCGATCACACTGGTGCTGTTCCGAAGCTTCAGAACACCCTTGCCGTAACATGCCTAGTTATCTCCTTAGAATATTTACGCCTTATCAACCTGGACATGATTTTGTTGATCCCAAATATTTACTTGCCGTTAGTCTAGCTAGATTATTTATGATACTGCATTATGTATTATACTACACAAGTAGAGTTGAAATTGGCTATTATGGACACGTGGTTTAAAGTGAAGCTATTGGCATAACGTTATTACACATTCTGTACTTACGGTTACAGGTCGGGACTGTTGTTGTCGTGGCTACACTTGTACATGTCACTGTGGGACTACCCACGATGCCGAAGTTAGCATTGCAGGTTACATTGAATACTGGTGCAGTACCAGTAACCAATCCATTCGTTATTATAGGCGCAGTGCACACGATAGCTGTATTGGAAAGTAGGAAAGCAATGAACTGATTTCAAACATAAAAGGACAATGCATTATTTGCTTTTTTATTGTTTCATCATATTATCCCCTTGGAAGTAGTAGCTGATTGATTTTGTAAACTAACGTATTGCATCGGTGGGTCAAACTGATCATTGTCTTGGCAATTAGGTAAGTACGGTACATGTTCCCAAAATTACAGTTTAGGATGCTAGTTGTAAGTAGTTTACTTACCGTTGCACATCTGAGGACCTGTCGTTAATTGCCACGAGCCACTGCCCCCACAATCTGCGTACCAATTAACAGAACTTTTTGTATATCCCAAATTACAAACGAGGAAGGCCTGCGAAGGAAATACATCTCCACTTGGATAGGTGAGAGTTCCGTTTGCTACAGGAGATAGGTCGGTACCACAGTGTGTACTTGGTGGTGACACTGCATGGTAAAAATTCAAAGCAGAAGAAGGATTCAGTGTTAAGAAGAAGGATTCAGTTTATTGCCCCTGGTGATTTGATATTCTGCTGTAAAACTATGGATACTTTCGCAAACGACTATTCACTTCATGCCTTGCACAATCTAAGGTTACACGATGCAATTTGCGAGGATAACCCTCATCCTCCAGATGTAATGGGGTCTGCATGGACAAGGAGTATGCTCATTATAAACCTGAAAGGGGTTTGTCAAGATACTGCACTCTGAGCTACATAGTGTATGCTAGGAGTGGGCATTCTTTCGAACGGATAATTAGCGATAATTGAGAAATATACTGCACCGAACATCATTATGTCTAAGGCCCACCAAGTTATTTCTATGCTACTCGTTCGACATTTTCTGGAAAAGGCATTCGGGCCGGCAGAGAAAAACAAAAACAGAGGAAAAGACAAACATCCATTCTATGTGTACTGAGCCATTTTGGACAAAAAATAGCATTACTATCACTTGTATCCGAATCGGCAAAAAGTCTCCGCATGTCAGCTGGTAGACTGGGCTGGAGCGGTACATTACCAGATTTCATGGGCGGCTCCTTCGCACTTTGACGTGAGTCGAGTGGAATTCCGCTCCATCACGATCGTGGAAAATCTCAAAGTCCTTGACATCTGGAATCTCCGCTCGATTGGTGAGCAGGCCGTACCATAAGGCTTGGAAAAAATAAATTTTCATCGCTCGCATCTTCTACGTACCCTCGTCTGGATTGCAAGATGATCGATAAGCTGATAACCAGTAACCGCTGCATTTTGGCCGCTCAGTAACAATTGATGCTTGCGCTCCATTCCCCAGACACGCACGCCCGTCTCCGCGCGCGCATTAGCACACGCCTGCACGTACTTACATGCACCCATCTCCATCCGGTTGTGCACTATTATTTCTCTCAGGGTATTTTTCCTTTTTTCATGTGGACAATCAACCATCACATGTATCAGAGCTCAATAGAGACAGAAGCGGAAAGGTTGGCACTAAATTCCTGCCCTGTACCCAAACTGTTCTATTATTGTTATCATTATTAGGGGGGGGGGGGGGGAAGGGGAGTAATCTAGTCACCTCCCAATATGTAAAAGGAGGTACATCTGCACTTCAATCCTGGGGGGTGATGGTGATCCTACCGTGGGGAACTCAGTCTAACTGAGTCTCACTCAGACCGTGCATTATTTTATCATTTTTTTCCCCAGCTCAATTCCACCAAGAGGAAAAATAATGGTATGTCCACCTCTGAATGATGTACATGAGTTTATACAAAACTAAGGCGAACTATAATACACACTATACACCGGCAACTCCAGAAGGTCATCATTTCCAACTGTGCTGGACTATTACAAGATTGAGCAAACTATTAACTTCTAGGCGGTGAAATTCAACCCTACGCAAGTGATTCAAATTGTACGTGCAGGCACGTAGCACCGCCGTTGGCAGTGGTCCGGCCAGGGGGTGCGGGGGGATCGTCAGGCGAAATTACTGGTCAGTCGGCGACACGCATTTTTCACAAAAATTTGCGTTTCACCTGCTGGGAGAGTATGCGTGTACTCGAGTCTCATCCTGAGCACGTTTTTTCTTCTTTTTTTCAGCTCCAGTATAGCTGTATTTTTCATTGCAAAGCCGTCCTCGATTGTTGTGTTCGTTGTTCAAACGAAGTGGACATTCAATCATGAAGGCAGAGGACATAGGAGCCTGATTGGAGTTTCTCGTGGCATAGGACGGCCACACAGAGACACTTTGGGATTTTCTGAATATAAAATACCGTACGCACGATGCTGAGATCAATTTGTGCGATATCAAATTGTTTGTGATCTACCACATCGAGCAGAACGGGATCCAAACACAAGCTTACCGACGGTTAGGCTGCCGATCTGACTGGACAAATGATCCCTGGCTTCACCTGACGCCAGAAGTCGGACACCATGTCCTTTGCCGCGATGTCCATCTCCAAAAAGAACTCCATCTTCGTCGTGACAAGGCTTGAAATACTCAATATTTAACCGAGATTCGCGGACTCACCCTTTCTCAGATCGAATCATTTTTTGTTGTAGCAGTTGCAGGGCAGATCCCCGCCACTACTTCAACAGAAGATGGCTCCAAAGCATGCCTGGAACAAGCCATATCGAGGTTGCAAGCCACCCCTCTCAGCACTTTTTTTGAAGAAATTCGAAATTTCATTGGTGGAAGATATACTATGAAGAGAATTTCAAAAAGTATGTTTCGCGGAGCGATCGCTCAACCTACGTCATTCAAACTTTGCAGGATGGTTCAGACGTACATGCTGGGCATGGAACCACAGAAGATGATATCATAGCTGACACACAGAGTCACACACACAGCAGATTCGTGTGCACAGATACTAAATTAGTGGACGTCGTCATCTTCTTCCCGCTGATCTCAAATGTACTATGACGTGCTATTTCGCCTGACGTGTCCCCCCTGAGTATATTTTTGAAATTAGGGTGCAAAATCCTGCATTCTGGGCAAGTTTTGGCATTGTTTTACTATGGTGGTCGTGGTCGGGCGAAAAAGTGGCCAAAGCCGGACCGGCCGGAGCGGCTGCTACGCCCCTGACGTGATAATGGGAAGATTCCTTTTGCCCTCTGCATTCTCTTCAGTTATTCAAGGTGCTAGCAGCCACTATAAGATCCGTCTCGAACAAAAATGAAAATTCAACTTTTTCTCTTGTTCAAAATGCGGGGTCGCACTTCACGCTTTTCAGCCATTCAGCCGAAACCTGGCGGAATACTTCCACCTTTCCATGGTAGCAGCTGAATTGCGCTCCTTTTTTCCATTTTTGTCTTAATGATCACCGGTTATATTTCCGCTACGTCGAAAGGTGTTTAGTCACAATTATATACTCATGATATGAAGGAGATTTATTCTCAGCTCCACCGTTAGGAGCTGCATCTGCCGCTAGGGTTTACCGGGTGCTAGCGGCCATCGTGAGTTACCTTCGGGAACGGACACAATAATTACTTTTTATTTTTTATTCCCACCTTGAGGTTATATTGGAAGTTTGCTCCGTAATACAACCATTTTAGAAATATTAAATGTGTTATTTTCGTTGGCTGAGCGTAGCGAATGAAAAGAAAAATGCATTTTTTGCCAGCATTTTCACCGCAGTTACGGCACCAGGATTGCGTCAGCTGGTTTTTTGTCAGTGTTCTCACGCTTTTCTCTTCATCGTGGTCTTTCTCTTTTCGTTGTAGTTTCCCACCCGCCTTCCCCTTTATTCTCACTTCTGGATAGATCCTACAGGCTATGTTTTGTTCATTTATCTTATGGGGTTATGCTAACCGGTTTTTCCTCAGGGTTGTGCCTCCGCCGGGGTCCTGAGGTTTTTTTCCGCCAGCTTCGGGCTGGTTAATTATCCGGCGGCCTCATTCACCACAGTGGTTCACTTTTTGCATCATGTTGGTCTGGTACATACATGTACATGTATATGTGGGAGGTGGCATGCCCTTCTTCTTGCTCATGTATACACTACGCTAAGCTCTTCCATCTTCCACCGTGAGTGAACAAAGACCACACTACTACTGTGATCTGCATCTTTCTGTTGTGCGTGGATGTGTCTGCGGTGTACGCAGAGGCTAGCTAGCTGGCAAAAAACATCTTAATTTCTCAGATTTTACCTGCATCAGCTCTGATGTTTTTACACATGACAACATCACCGGCTGGACACGGTGTCACCTTGGGATAGCAGGTAACACCTCCACTTCCGTCCGATATCCAAACGGAAATGGATCTTTTTTGCAGGGTGGTGATGTAAGCGATATAGGACTGAGCACAGGTTCCAGTGATATCAGACATTGTCACGATTGTAGCACCAGCAGTAGTACACCTGGCTTCTGCACCTGATGAATCAGTTCCGATCCAGGCGCTGTTGCTTACAAAATAAAGCCCTCCATCGTTGCAATTATAGTGGGCTAATGGGAAGAAAGAGAGAAAAGTGGAGACAGTGCAGAGGTGTTGCTATACGTGAAAGTAGAGAATTCACGTAGAGCGCAAATGTATGGGTTAGAGTATGCGGCCTCGGGTGTTTTGGGTCCAAATTTCTAGATGAGATTCTCTACTTAATATTTATTCAACATCTCCTTGCTCGTCGTAATATTGCCAAAAAATTTGGAAGTCGGGTGGTAGCCAACCATAGCGAACCAAATAAAAAGGAGAGAAAAAAAGAGAGAACTGTAATAAGGGTAACCACGAAAATGGTGAGATTATTTAGGACGAAGAAGCTGAAGCTTGAAGTCCTTAATGTCTGTGCAAACTTTAAGGCAAAGTTGGCAGGGGAGACCAGAGAGTGCTTTGTGGTACACCCAAAGAAAATGCTTACGGATCTGCTGGGTATTATTCAACAGCCAGCAGAAATCTACCAAAGTGCACATTCCAATTGACTTCTCTACGTGAACGTCGAGTAGAACAGGTTTCCTTTATGGTGCACAAGGAGATAAAAGGCTCTACGGATGCACAAGGCTATAAATGGCCTGGGTAGCTATGGCAATGCATGAATGATGAGAGCGGATGTACTTCCTCCGAGTCATCGAAATTGTCGCAGTTTGACTTTCGATATAAAACGGGTTTTTTACTCACCAGCACTCGTACCAGAGGCAAGGAATCAGACATAGGCGACGGTCATCAGTATACGGTGACGGCAAAGTTCTATTATTTCTGTTATTGGAAGCTGGAATTTTTGAACTAGACGCAATTTCTTCGCTGATGTCGCTGCGATGGTAATTTCGACTCGCTGAGATCAGTCAGGCGTTGCAGCCTGCACATTTCTCGTGCTTATGACCATTTACTCAAGCCTAATCACTGTTTTACCTTAGCTGGGGTGAGAATGACTTCGTGGAACAAGTGGCAGCGCTTGGAGAAACATCGAGGGGTCAGCAAACTAAATGCCTGCACCAGCGATAAAATGTGTCGCTCTGGCCGAGACACCCAGTACATGATTGTACCTGCAAGTGCCGTGTAGACTCTACACGTAGTGCTAGTGTCTGTACTAGTGATGCATGCGCAGGTGCCGTACCATGGTATACCAGTGAATCAGGGCCGGGCCGGCAGTGATGCTGAAAACGAGGGCGCGCTGGACGTGATAGTACACTTACCTGCATGAGCTGTGACCACACAGCTAAAATAAATGGGCATGCCACGGCTAAAAAAGTTCATTTCAAGATCAAGGTGATTCCGCCGACGGTAATCAACCGACCTTACAACGATCGTGTATTCTTACTAGGCTTCGTTGGTGGTGAAGTCGAAATCATCCAGAGCTAGCAGACGACAAGCATAGCAGCTCTTGTCCTGTGGAGAAAGTCAAAGCGTTTGAGATGAGGCGCGACCAACTTTCAACCTTCCTTGAAATATTTCGGAACCATGTTTTTGCGTCCATTGACATCAGCGACGACGAGGACTTCATCTCTGCATGAAAACTCTCAGTCCAACTGTCCTGAAACGTTACTCTAGTCTTCAGACTATCATACTGTGTGATAAGTTTTGAATAGCTTTGCTTATGGAGTTGTCAGTAACAAGTGACAAGTCACTAGTCAAACTGCGACAATTTCGATGACGCGGAGGAAGTAGCTAGTCAAGCAAACGGATAACGAGGGAAAGAGGGATTATGTGTGCGTGGGAGAGGGGGAGGGGAGTGCGGGTCAAACTTCGAGTATCGAGAAATGGGAAGCGGGAACAAGGTTCATGCACGCATTCGCGTGTGAGTGCATGTGTACATGCACACCGCAGTGACACACATTTAAGCGCATGTGCCTATACCCGGGCATAACCGCACCCTCACAAATACACGCATGGACTCATAGGTGAACGTAAATGCAGTCCATCCCGTGACAAACAGACACCACAAATACCACTATGTTGATATAATCAAATGTGCATTGCGGTATCACACTATTTGCATAATTATGCAAGGCACACTAGCAACTCAAGCGCATGCGTCTATGTGCGAGACAAAACGACGCGCAACAATAGCAAAAAAGCTAAAACCCACTCATAAGCTGATGGGCCTTTATATGCGTCACAACAGTATATGGGATGGAGTATCTGGAACATGGTGCATGCAAAGTGGGCCCCTTGATACACTAAAATACTACATGTATGCGTACAATCTTGACGAACTCTCCATAATGGCCCAGCATCGATCACCTTGGAGAGGCATGCGGCAAAGAACGGGTGCGTGTAATCTCTAGCCCGTATCCGTCCGACCAGTCAAAAATCTACGACTATCCGTCGATCAGTAAATCCATCATTATCTCAGTCATTTCTTGACCAAATTCCGTGGTCGAAGGGTCTATCGCCATTAGAAAACACCAGGCTATCGTCTCGAACAATTGTCGAAGAGCTACGGTGCTCCTTTTCAACGACATTGTCCGCCGAAAGTAATCATGAGTCACGGCAATTGTGACTTTTCTGCTCTCGGGAACACTTCAACATCAGATTTTTTTTCTTTTTTTGCATTACAGTTACACCACCAAGCACATACTCATGACGTAAGAACCAAGTAAAATGTTCTGTACACAAAAAATCTAAGTCCAGTGATGGAGGAGATTGAAATGGCGAGGCAATATAATTGGGATTCTGCCTCCAGATCTGGCGCTGGGACAGGTTTGGCAAGTGACTGCGCTGGACTTGTGGCTTTATAGATGGTGAATGTGGGCTCTGTGCTTTCGCCGCGGAAGGATCTTTCCAGGAAGCTTAAGACCATCGAATTCGGCCAATGGAGACTAAACTTTGAAGGTAAATTATGTCATGAAATTGCAATTTGGGCCTGCGCAGCGATTTTGTCGGACGGATGAGGGCTAGCCGAGGAACAGCAATGAAACCATTCATTGCATAATGCTTATAATTATCATATGTATTGTGTCAATGCATTATGAAATGCGATCTGTCACAGTTAGGTATCTGAAAAAAATTGTTTTGCACATATCTTGATCAATTTTAACCGCATTCACTTTATTTTCGGCTTAAAACAATGGCTTTCATAATTCTGATAATTATGTCAGCAACTTCACGATCTTGAATAAGAATGAAGTGATGCTGTGAAAAACCTATGGGTCAAGGTTTGGCGAATGCACTTTTATACATGTTTAACTCGGATACTGAGCCAATAAATATAACTAATATAGAAGAAACCACATGGAAACGAGTTATGAAGCCATTATCTACGGCTGTAAGCAGTCAGAAAGTGCAATAACAGGGCACAAAAAACTGTCATGTTACTGAGACATTCAACGACCTGTGACCTAGCTCTCACACACCTCCAGTGAGCAAACCAAACGCGCAACCGCCTTCCATCTTGGAGGGTTCACGGTTTTGGTAGGACCAATGAGGTGAAGGTGAGCGCAGCAAAAAATGTGCACAAGCTAAGTCTCACGGTACCAAAGAAAGCCGACTGTTACAAGACCATGACGGGACCAGTTAATTACCGTATTTTACCGGTTGTAAGTCGACCCCGGTTATAAGTCGACCCCCCTTTCTGGAGGTCACAATTCTGCGTTTCAAAGTTTTCACCCAAAGAAGCACTACTAACCACCTCCTGCTACTAACACATCAACAAATCATGTAAACATTCCTTATTGGAGGATAACGTCCCAATCCTTGAAAAAGGCCAATAAACTGGCAAAAATGTATAAACATGGTGCACTCGTGCATGCAGTGCAGGTCATTTTTTGTAAGATACTGATAGTTCCCGGTTATAAGTCGAATCCCGGTTGTAAGTCGACCCCCACCCTTTCTCCTTCTATTTTCAGTCGTAAAAGGTCGACTTACAACCGGAAAAATACGGTAATAACATGGCAATGCGGTCTAACTACAATTCGAAGCAGCAAAGACGGTCGGACGAGCTGCGCAGGCCTCACCACCACTGCCGGTTCTGTGCTGCCTTCTCGATACATATGTATGCACACTGTTTATCATGTGCACATTCAATTTTCTGAGGGTTTGTGGTTTTTCAATAAAAAAATAAAATAAAAAGCAACACACCACCCAACTTGGGTGGGTCAGAGATAAAGAAATCGGGAATCTTTGCGAAAACGAATTGTACAAAACCGGACGCCAGTATCTAACGGTACTCCTTATGCATGACAGTATTGGGGACGAGGTGACTACATTTCGTTTTGTGCCCTGCTATCGCACATTCTGACAGCTTATTATCTGGTTACAGTCGTGGATAGTGGCTTCATAACTTGTTCCCATTTGATTTCTTCTTCTTCAGTTATAATCGTAGATTGAGTAATTTCATGTCCATATATTTTCAGACCACAATTGAGTTGAATTGACCTAAACAAGACTGTGATCGTACAGTTGACTCAATTCTATACAGTCCGTCGTGAAGGCATGCTGGATATTCGTTGCCATTCCTGCATTTAATCATGTAAAGGTGTGCTTTAATTTCTCTTCCGGCCCGTCACCATTGACGAGATGCAGCGGAATGCCTTCTATCAAAGTTCACCATGCAGATTCATGCTCTCCAGCCCGCTTAGTTTGATCTGGCATCTGTAGACTGCAAGGTACCAAATCAGTCAAAAATGAGTGAGTGAATGTCATTTCACTATGCGGCTTTCAAATTCCCTTTCAAATTCCCTTACCGACATATTGCACGGCAGTCACGGACGATACTGCAGTACTGAATACCAATATCGCAACGCACCACGACGTCATATTGTCCTCCCAGCGATATCTAGTATCAGCACGAAACCACCACACATGCACACACACACACACACACACACACACACACACACACACACACACACACACACACACACACACACACACACACACACATACACAAACACACACACACACACACACCATTTGACGCCCATCACCGGAGGTGATGATAGCGATGCTACAGCAGAAGCCATAGGAGCTTGTGCTAGGATTGCACCATTCAACAGCTTGAATTGACCACCACACCACATACTCCGGCATGCACTGGCTGTTGGTAACCACACAGGAGAATGAAAGGAGGAGTCTGAGAAAGAGAAGAAAGACGTGTGTAACCATAATCTTCGGGAATCGAATCCGCAACCTCTAGACAAGAAATCGCCGCACATACCACTGCACCATATGGGACACACACATGCACACTCACCCACACAACCAGGCATGGATACTGGATAAACCCTATTGATTTGTGCAAACATCTCAGACAAGTAAGAAAAGGTTTGCTCCCCACACTGGAGCTCACACCATTCCGCCGACTTGACTTGACACTTGACTGACTCGCGAATGCCATCTAGAGCACATGAGAAGTCCATCGAACCTTCGACTCCGCAAACCTGCAAGAAAGCAACACTCCCTGCTCAATACACAGTGTTTCGGGGAATTTACCCCTCATTAGTTGAGCTTGATTAGGCTGAGGAAGATTGTGCCTGTTGAGCAACACTTTTATTGTGCTCTCCAACCACAAACATCACCTGGGATACAAATTTACAGAGACGCTCCGTTTCCAGGGCGACTAACACCTCCATGAACACCACTTATACGTGTACTGTATAGTGCTCTCAAGTCACACACATCACCAGGGGTACAAACTTACAGACACGATCCGTTTTCAGCGAGACAAACACCTCGGGAACACCAGATAACAGTCAGTGTCGCTCCTGGACGTTGAGAACAGATGTCTAGGTCATTCACAACGCTGTCACCTCCAAACCAACTAGTCGCAAACCCGCGTTCTCATCGTCCAGGAGCGACAATGTCTCACGCTGCAATCTGGGGTTCACGAGGTGTTTGTCGCGCTGGAAATGAAGCGTGCCTGTAAGTTTGTATCCCTGGTGATGTTTGTACCTGGAGAGCATAATATAAGTGGGGCTCTCCAGGCACACTCTTCCTCAGCCTACTCAAGCTCAACTGGTGAGGGGTGAATTCCCCGTAATAATGTGTATTGAGGAGGGAGTGGTGCTTTCTTGCAAGTTTGCCAAGTTGAAGGTTCCATGGACTTCTCATGTACTCTGGGTGGCAGTCTTGAGTCAGTGAGCCACGTGCCGGTTGAGATCTAGTGGAAGCCGAAAACGTTTGTTGCAGAGCCGGCCCACATCCGAAGGTTTCCCTCTGTTTTCAAGTAGGGTGACTGCCATGGCTGCATTTGTGCAGCCGGAAACCGGATGGCGAAAACTGGTGTTGACGCATTGAGCAATGGAGTGGCAAAACTCCAATGCTCAATGTGATACACGCACACACACACACACACGCACACGCGCGCGCGCGCGCGCGCAGACCGAGACACGTACCCCTCCCTGCAAACACACATACACCTTTGTCCACACCTTACCCCCCCCCCTCGCAAAAACAAACAAAGAAACAAGAGACTCCCACAAGAAACACAGCCCTATTGGTCTTGGTGCAACTCTCCTCTGATGCTCAATAAATATTGATACTCTAAATACTTCCAACCTATTGAGAATTCCATTCGAGAGCTTCCTGTATATATTTCAGGTATTTGCAAGTGTAAAAGCTAGACTCGTTTGTTGCCATATTCATAATTCAGTCAAACCTGTCCTTGCCTATAGCTGAGACAAATGGACACATGCAAATAGACCAATCCCGAAAAGATTGTCTGGGTTCGTGAAAGGGGGCACGCGTGCAAGCCAGCACGTGTGAAGTGTATCGTTTTGTATTCAGTTTGTGTGTGTCAGCTCATGGCGGAGGAGAGAGAGACTTTTGCTCGCCGAGCTGAAGCTAAAGGATTTGATGGAGTCCTGCCAGCAGCTAGTCAAAGGACCTTCGGTACCTTAGGCAGACCCTGACGGAGTTTGGAGGCCAGATAGCTCTCGGTGAGGAGAGAAACATTCGCGTGGCGATCGACTCTCCGTAAAAAATGCAAGCTACATAGCGCCGACATACTGCAACAGCTACGATTTCAGCTAACTTCTCGATCTGATGCTTCACAAAGTTCAACTATTTACAAGTCCTGACTGTTGTAGTCTGAAGCTGGAGTCTCATCGCCCACCTACAGGTAGCTTTTGGAGCTGATGGATTTCCCGACTTGGACTCCTTCCGCAAACTCTCGCAACAGTACTACAGAGTATGCTGTGTTTCCGCACGCTCGTGTCGACATGTCACATACTGTACATGTACCGGGTCGCGGAGGAGCTTGACGACCTCCGCTGCCTCCAGGTTTCCGAAATGCTGCCGTCGTCTTCGTTGATGTCGCTGGTGACATTCTCCCCTTGCAGGACGTGCACATAGTTGTCGTCCCGGGGGTAAAGACTATGTTGTCTTTCGAAATATTTCTTCATCACGCTCGCGCGAATGATGTTTCTCATCATGAACTCGTTCCGACGGTGTGACACGGCGATGGTCTTTGGCGGGGCACTGGCTTGGCGAAAACGATATCTTCTTGTGCAATATAACATTGATCGGCTGCAGATGAGTACAGTCACTTCGTGGTTGGTCCTATAGGAGGGCAGCTGCCAGGAAAGAGGCAGGACTCATCGAAGACGAAGCGCTCGCAACAAACAATAGCACTCGAAATATCTCGTAAGATTTAGGGCCTATCGCTTTGAGCCACAGCGCTCACAGCCTTGCCTACTTCATCAAAGTGAGCTCTACATGTTCGTTGACCTCTTCACACTACACAGAAGAGCGAAACAAGGATTATGTCTTAGCATTTCAACTCCAACAGCAGACCATTACCAGTGCGAGAGAGAAAACTACAAAGGGCTTCGCTTTCTGTCGCATCGTCTCTCTTGCATGCAACTAACGAGAAAATCGTGTACTTACCCTCGCATTCACACGCGAACTATCAAACACGTCCTGTGCCGCATGCTGATCAGGTAGTGCCATGTATGTGTTGTACAGTGTACTCTCAGTTGACATGCCCCCTTTCGAACCCAGACAATCTTTTCGGGATTGGTCTATTGAAGACAGCTCATCGCACTCATCGCAGTCCTATTGACTTTGTGTGTATTTCGCAAGTACACTTGAAAATGCGGTCACCTGTGAAATGCGAAATAGGGACACTCTCGCGTGCCCACAGTACTGTCTGGCGTTTCTGAGTACAATCATACTACTGTCGTGGATATGGAAATCCGCTCGCAGGTCTAGTGGCCCCAGGGCGCTGGCCATGCAGCCCTGGCGGCGGGAGTAAGCAGTAAAAACAGACACTATGCGCTGCAGGGCGCTGGTCGCATTGGATCAACATGTGCACTGCCTGCAACGTTCTGTACGCGCTGAGAGCGCCGGTTCCAGTCATTCGACTGGATTTCCATGTCCACGACAGTAGTACATGTTCACTGCATTCCATTACCAGCGCTCCTCTTGCACCCATTTATTACAGAAAGGGCGGAAGATACAAGGTTTGTGGGTCCCTCGTTTACAATCAAATACTGGCGCGGGTAAAAGCGAACATGTGGTGCAATGAAAAAAGTGGACGATACAACTGGGTGTGATTTCTTGAATGAAACCAGCGACCCGCGTGACAGTCATTGCAATGTTTACTCGTCCCTACCTCCGTCACTGGTCACTATACCAACGGGAGCACTCCCTGCCTGGCGTCCAGCAGATACACTCCTCAGCTTCTCTGCAAACAATCAGTAAATCCAGGTGTTGGAAATCCTCTCTCTGTCTCTACCTCTCTCTCTCTCTCTCTCTCTAGCTCTGTCCACAAAACAGGTGGGTGGAATGAATGGTCGCAGCACCTTGGAAGGATAATTTGAGCTAGATCTCCGTGTTTCAACTCTTCTGCTGCATAACACGCACACGATACTCCGCTAAGCCTAGCCTACGACTTAGGTGGAAAGGATATTTGTCTTGATTACGAGGTCCTAAACTCAGGACATCGACCAGAGAGGAATGTCCACTCTATTCCCAAAAGAATCTCAGCATTGTCGGGGGAAGGCAGTAGGTGCATGTCAAGCGTCGTCCTAGCCCTTGCCGCTGTAGCGTGTGTTTATGCCTGGCTTCTGCGACCTCTGCTGAAGCCTGAAGTACAATAATTATTTTTGGTGCGACTAACTCATGACGAGGTGTCAGCTGGCACCGCCCGGGCAGGCAGCACCACATGCTAGCACTAGCAGTGCTCGTGTTTTCGGCAATCCGCACGAGGATATGAAACCGTGTCCTTTGGTGCAAAACTCCTCACGTTTTGCTCTGAAATCGATAGAACTACCCTTCGTGAGTGCAGTGAAGAAATACATACAAAATGCCATGTCAGATGAGATCACCCATGGTGACGCTGCATGCACAGGCGAATGCTACATGCTAGCTCTACCCGGTGTCACGTAGACGCGTGCAATGAGTACAGCTGTCTACACGATGTAGTGAAACGCACAGTATTAATCCTGAAATTCGAAAAGGAACTCGACATCGATGCATCATGATAAAGTAGTGCTGGGCGCTGAACCCAACAGGCTACTACCAAATCCAAACGGACCGCGGCGGTTCTAACTAATGCGGTCTAGTAATAATACCTGTGATTTCCCTTGCCTGAATCATGAACTGTACTTGGGTCGGTGATGTACAGTCACGCCGCGCTGCGAATCGCTGGATAATGTCAATACTGTTACCGGTATTAGTGTTAGCGCTACTACACACACTCAGTGATTATGATTGCACATGTACAGACGCGGGCCTCGACAAAAGGGATTCCATGGAGGTTACACCGAATTTCATTCGTTCTATAATGCAGTTTTGGATTTCCAGCACAGTCACAGGTGGTTTCATTTCTGTAAGGAAATCAGGGCGCTGTGAAGCCATGGTTTCTTGATTCGTACACCTGTGTAAGGCCAAACGTTATGTATGATATCATAATTTTTCGGCCGGCCGATTTGGGAAATGCCTACACGTGTAGCCCTTTCCCAAAGGTGCTCGCCCCTTTTTCGTCCTTTTTGGCCCTTTTTGGAAAAGCCCGTTTCTTTCGCCCTTTATTGCGTTTTTTGTGAATATCGCCCTTTTTGAGCTTTTTTAGCTGAAAAAGTGCTAAATTCTGTTTGCTCATGCATGCGATCAGCTTTTTTTGGGGGCCCATGGGGGTAACAAGTTGGTGAAGCTTGTACCCGGTGTACACAATGCTGTAAAAAGTGGGTTTTTTGAACTTTACTTCTGGTTTGCCTTTCTAGGACCCATAACTGGAATAGTGCGTATTCATTTCTCATCTTGAGTTCATATCAGAACATGTATCATGGCTATGCTTCACTGAAAAAGAGCACTTTTTGCCTGTTTTCAGTGAAAAAAGAGCACTTTTTCAGCATATTTTGAGGGACGCGAAAACCACTAAGTGCGAATTAAAAAAGCTCCTTTGAGAAAGGGCTATACACGTGTGTCCGACTGTCCGTCCCATTTTAGTAGATCTACAGCACAGGTCTGAGTTCTACTCTCCACGTAACCTAATCTCTGAGATCAAGCAAAAACTATGTTAAATCGAAATTTATGCTATGTAGAAAGCCGTGTATAAAAATACAGTGCTTGCAACTGAAATCCGACCCCCTTGCCGGCGCGGCGCCCTGGCAAGGTGGTCGGATTTCAGTTTCCAGCACTGTACATGTACCTCCAAATGATGGGTACATGTATTAGTATTACAAGGCGGATCCAACCATGCAGACAAGATTGTAAACACTGCAACACCATCGACATCAGATGCAGTCAATGCCGCAGAATATGTGCACCATGGCATAGGACTAAACTGGCTAGCTACAGCTACAGCTTGATCGTACCGCGCACGTGATCGTGAATCTGCGTTCTGTGGAGGGTGCGCACGTCGGTCGGCGACCGCGCCGTAGCGTACGTTATGTCGATGTTAACGTTATGCAAGGTTGCGTTGTGCAGAACAAAATTTGTATGGCAGTGATGGGCGCGTCATTTATTTGTTTTTTACGTGCTAGCGAGGTTTGCTTACAAGTGAGAGTTGTTATATCGAGAGCAGACCTATACCAGACTGCCATCCGGATCGGCACTGATCCAGAACAGACAACACTTCACAAAGCACGAACAAAGGGCGCAGCCTAACCCTTGGTTACCACTGCACTGGGTGCAGTGGACATAGTCTAGACTTCATGTTGATTTCTCCACTCGTCTTTCGGGGCAGCAGACTGTCTCTGCGCGGCTGGCTGTGACCATGACAGGTGTAAGATCTCACGAGGGTGTTGTTGTCTGTTAGTTGATGGGTTGCGGTACCGGACTGTGCATGTCAAGACAAGACTCCGCAGATCTGCTGTTCAGCGAACTCAAAACAAACCTGTGAAGTACAGGCGAGCCACGCGCTGTGCAAACCTAACACTGGGAACATGCATATGAATTATTATTATGAACCGTGATTTGAAAATCAACGCCCATGGTGTAGGATCGCTGTTTACTACTGTAGCGCTAGCGGACATGGAAATCCAGTCTATTGTATTGACTGGGGCCGGGTCGGGCGGCGCCCTCAGCGCGTTCAGAACGCTGCGTGCAGTGCACTTGTTGATCCGATGCGACCAGCGCGCTGCAGCGCATAAATGCATTGATCACTCTCTTAGACTCCCATTGATTTTCGCTATACCTAAGCAGTCAAATATTCCTGCATATTTCACTCCTTAGGGCTACATGTATTGACTGCTTATAATTATTTGACTGCTTAGGGGTTGGGCAATTGAACGGTGCCTAAACTATGTAGTGCAGCATGGTCACTGCATGCGTAGGTGATGGTGCAACGGTTGTGCAATCATAAAACCGGGATTCATGAGTTGGATCGTTCTGGAATTAGAAATACGGACTGTTTGTTGTGATAAATCTAGTTTGTACTTGGTCAGTATAGGAAATAAAAACCTCGTAAAAGACCACGGCTTCGCCTCGTTCTTTTACTCGGCTTTTATTTCCTACATTGTATATTGACCTCGTACTCAGTCAATATACAATTTAGGAAATACTAGTAAAGACATCAAATACTGAGCTCTATGAGAGGTGCAACACGGAACCACTATCTGACATCGTGGACAGGAGAAGATGGCAGCTAACCGGCCATATTCTCCGTATGGACAGGGATGCGCCGCCATGGATTTTGCAGGAGATCCAAGGCTGGGCGTGGACGTCCAACTTGGCAAGGACATCCATTGCGATGCGCATCACAAGCGACTTACAGAGAAGGAACATCGACTTGAAGCGCAGCAATCAGCTGGAGAATGTGAGGGCCATCGCTCTGGACAAGCCTACATGGAGAAATCTGGTCCACAATCCATGATCTGGCGTCACAGGTCATCAGTGCACCGTATTTAAAAAAAAATTATCTTGATAATGGAATTTGATCATAGGAGATAGGACAGAAGCGGAACGTATAATTATACATGTACCCACATAATAATATATTATTACGCGTGTTGTGGTATTATTACGGAGGATTAACAAGACGAAATTCGCGTTCGCGTTCGCAAACATTTTTCAGTTCGCGAACTGGACTGCGAACTTTCGCATTTTTCGTTCAGAAAAGTAGTCAGAACACGAATCGCGGATTCGTGTCGGGGCAGTCATAAATTTACCACGCTGTACTACCTGTACACAATGTACGTAGCGTGAACGTCATGCATGTGCGAATTCTGTTTGCTAATGGCTGGTAGCCCTCATACATAATATTGGTTGACACCATGTCATCCATGAATTGAGAATAATAATAGTAATAATCCTTCTCATAACGCGAATTCCGTCACTGAGTTCGACTTTCCTTGGAGAGCGAACGCGAACGCGAATTTCGTCTTGCTAATCCTCCGTATTATTATTATTATTATTATTATTTTGAAGTATTTGTAAGAAAGGTTTGCTCCCCACACCGGAGCTCGCAACCACTACTTCGTATTTTGAAGTATTATTATTATTACTCAGTCAATATTAGATACATGTACATGCTGTCTACAGCATGGGGTGTACATGTACGTATGTACCGCTTATCCACGGCGGCATGGCCAGCGCCCCGGGGCCACTAGACGTGTGACCGGATTTCCGTGTCCACAACAGAGTAACAGTCACTGAGTCAGTGCTAGTGAGGTTTTGCATTCCGAATTTCGGTACTGCGTTCTTCGGTCATTTGTCGAACATCAAAATGTCGAATTTTCGCACCAACGTTTGTTTTGCAAGTCGAAAATGATGTGTTTTCATTTCGTGAGCCCCAGCATCAGCAACGTCCTGTCCCGTGCTCCTTTTCTTGCTGCTCCCAACGAACTTTGATTGCCCAAAGAGTCGAGGGCCAAACCTGCCTCCTCAGTCGCCTCAGAAAAACCAACTCCATGGCCAAGTCAAATTTTATGGGTGTCGCCATAGTCTTTTCAGCCACACAGATGACGGTGAGGACACTCCAGGCGAAAAAGAGAGTAGACAGGCAGTGGAGAGGAGCAATCAGAGGTAGCTGACGATGCTATATCGCCAAAGACGCCTGCCAAGCGATGCCGAGATAAGAAACCTATTTGAATAAATCACGCGCTAGCGCTCTTCTACAAGAAAATGCATCCGAAAAATATATTCGCCAAAAAGAGCTTTTTCCGAACAAACAAGCCGAATCTTCATGTGCATTTTCGACCTCGCTCCCGCGTGCCGAATCTTTTTGCCGAATTTCGGAATGCAAAACCTCACTAATAATTGTAGGAAGAGCATTGACGTGTTTATGTGCTCTTGATCGTAGACATCTACCATGATCTATTGTCGAGGACATGGAAATCCAGTCGATTGACTGGGGCCGGCGCCCTCACTACGGCCTCAGCGCGTAGTTCTACAGAACGCTGCATGCAGTGCACATGTTGATCTTGACACGACCAGCACGCTACATGCAGCGCACGATACGAATGCATTGTGTGTGCGTCAGGGATCCGGGAGTCATACTCCTGTCGTGTGCATGGAAGTCCGGTCGTAGATCTACGTCTAGCGGCCCCAGGGCGCTGGCCATCATCGGCATGCAGCCGTA